CCCCCCCCCCAAACTGGGCATGCACAACAGCAAAATTGAGTAAGCCACTTTGTTGGTGCAAGTTTAAAGGTGGATTAAATGAGGCCAAAGTGAATCATACAATCGCCACTACTGTCATCCTAATTGGATGCGCTTCCTTGATTCACTGAAATAATGCTTATTTTGGCACCTTAAGTTAAGCTTGCCATTAAAATAAAACTACCGAAATTCGATTTGCACCATTAAAGGATTTACAAAGGAAGACCTGTCACAGCAATGCGTACCCACGCTTGGCTATCAGAGCGCGAAGGGGATAAATTAATTTACTCACAAAAGCTTCCGTTGGTTATAAGAAAGAGATCATTCAAATACAGTGATCAGTTTTTGGGGATTTAAAATTCATTTACATTTTCGATACGGCGACAAAAGAATACTTTTACGGAAATATTCCTTCGGAGTAAATGGTTCACTTAATTGAGCGAATTAATTTGGAATAGACCTACCATGGTGTTTTGTAAAATCTTTGAGGAGTTTATGGGTGAAAAATGAAGTTAAGTTCAACACAGTTATTTTGCCGGGAAGTATAATGCTTGTGTAAATCTTGATCACAAATTTTTTTGTAAACCATTGCAACAATTGAGACAGAGACGGATGTCAAGCAACAGGAACAAAGGAGATCGTACTCTTTAGGCCCGACAGTTTGATAAACCGTCTGTTTAGCTGTGTAAGCCTATGACTGAATGGCCCCATTCGTATGCATGAGTCAGGGTAGGTCCCAATTACACTGCTGAGTGCGTGAGCTGGCGACCAGAGACCAATCAGATCACTGCAGTTTGTGGGTTCAGTTCTGCTTTATCGTTTAGCCAGACCTGTCAACTCGTCGACCTCAAGCTCTCCCATTGGCTAAATGCGGCGAGGAGACCGCTAATGCACACGTGCGTCCGTATCGCCCAGTCCTCCACCTGCATGGAGAGTACGTGTGCGTGCATTCCAGCAATTGCGAATGTGGGAGGACAATTTTCCATTTTTTCTCCAACGAGCATAGTTAAACGGAGAGGAGGACTGTCCGCTCTGTTGGACAAGATGAATTCATATCCTGGTACTGTTATAACCATTTAAATGAACGGCATAAATGAAGGGGCATAACATGAACGTAGTAGAGGACATGGATGCAAATTTTGATTAATCGGTCCAATGTTCAGACTTGCTCTATTTAAAATGAACATTTGGGTGCTCCTATGCTAGCTGGTGACTAAGCTGACACGCAAAAATTATTTACACATTGCCTCTTAACGGTAGACAGCTTGATGCACGAAGTTCTCACGTGAAAACCCTTTATTCCTTTCCTGTTTCCCACGTAACTTGGTTAAAAACACCTTACCGGAATTGCCGACTTTGTTAGCAGGGTTACAGGGATAACCCTACCCATCAAATTGTGTTTTGCTATTATTTGTGCCGTGTCAAGATGAAGCAATAGATAACAATTGTTATGAATTTTTCATTATTGCCACTTATAGTGGAATTCTCTGAAAGGCGATTTTAGTCAACATTCGTCTTAACGTAGAAGCACTTCGGTACCATTATGAAACCGCCACAGATTACTTAGGATGGATAGCACGGGTTGCCCCACTCTCCAGTGCCGCAAAACAGACGGAAGGGATGCACTTATGTGCCGTCAATTTATTTCCTAAATGAGATGTATTAAGATACAGGGATACGCAGGTGGAAATGCAAACGCACAGCGGTAGCTGACCAATTAAGCCAGAAGTTAAGGATCACGTTTAAATGGCATGCAGTTAGAATGGATACTTAGAGATAGAGATGTAGACGTAGAACGAATGCTGGAAAATGAGTTTTGAGTCATCACCGTATGGGACCTGTTGGAGCTGTCGACCAACAGGGTAAACGTCAAAGTCTTGGGGATTCGTGGTTACGTGCCAAGGCAGGCCCTCGTAACAAGAGACTCTGAAGAAGAGATAGTATAGGGCAGGAGTTGACTGGTCCAAACTGGCATGAATGACCTCCGACCCATTGTTCGCGAATGCTGGTGAAGTCCAATCAGGTATGAGGTAGACGACCCCGTTCTTAGACCTGTGAATCACAGGTGTACCACTGGCCTTGTCCAGCAACTGGTAATGACAATTGCCTTGCTGCACCTTTTAGGAAATAAAAATGCAAGTGAACATTTGATGCATACGGGAGAATGGTGAATGATAAACCAGTAAGTCCAATGTAAGAAGTGGTATTACATGAGAACCTCGATCATTTAGTCATTCTTAAAGACCATCAATGAACCCCGTGACATTATCACGGATAAAAGTCGCCCCATATTATTCCCGTTTAGGCCAAATTATGTGCCCTAGACTACTGTTTTATGACTTCTGGGACTTTGTATAAACAATTTTTAATGCTAAATAACTGATAATTCAATGTATGTGGGCCGTGAACACTGCAGAACGCTGTAAACCAATGCATTGAAAATAAGATCCGGCCGTCAGTGATTCAGTGGTACCATTCTCAGCCTAAGTATGAGAGTGGAATAATTTTTTTTGCTTTACACCAGTAATCACGCCCTGTCTCGTCTCCTGTCTCGCCCCTCGTCTCCTGTTGGCATTACCATAGGACCAAAATGTCGCCCATGTGTGTGGAAGGCAATTACCTGATTCCAGTCGACCACACGAAGCATGATATTTCGACCGATGGTGCCATTGGTCTTAGGGATGCTCACAGAGATGTACTGCACCGAGTCAGCGTATCTAGCTCCCTTTGGACAGGGCAAATTACTCTCTGTGCACAAAATTCTGCAAGATCTAGAGGGTAAAATAAATTTTTTATGGGTGGGATATCGCTCAACGAATAGCTGCGCAGTAAGTAACAAATCATCCATACCCTGCAAACTGGTGATATAAGCCATAAAGTGGAGCATATGATCCGGTACTGAGAGAAATATCGGAAATGCTGGACCATTCATCCCACTTTATTGCAACCTATTCACGTTAATTCCCCTCTAAATCCGCTTTCACCCTTTACCAATGCGGTTTTTCCAGAAATAGTTTTTTTCTTCTTCAACTCTGGACAGTCAGAATAGAGAGGCGTTTTAAGGGAATTGATACGGATATTTAAGAGGATGGTTGTCAAATTTTCGGATGTCGTCCTCTACAAAGCCTAGGTCCCTTAAAGCTGTTGTAGCAACACTTTCTTCCACCTACAACCGACCGTTCATTCACCAATGGAAAAAATGAACGGCAGGGGAAGTTGAAAGGCAAAAGTGAAAACACACTTCCTGCCCAAGGTTTATTAAAACCTTCTGAAAACTACTTTTTACTGAGTTAATAAAAAACAAGTTTTCCACGATGCCGTAATTTACTTTGCAAGTTAATTGTGGGACATTTTGAAGAAATTCACAAAGCTAAAAAGTTTTGTGTATTCAAATTAAGTGATAAATGAGTTGTTTTGAGAGAGTCAATGGTTGCAGTCTACTTGGCTATTCATTATAAGAGGAAGGACAAGAAAAGCAATTTTAGTCACACAAAACCAAATCAAAACGGATTTCTTAACACGAAATAAACCCCTGCGACCACGCAGATTGTTTTACTCACAAGCAGCTTTGTTAACTTATTTTAGCAATTGTTACCTACTATGGGAAGGAGAACTGAGCAATGACAAACTTTCATTCATCTTAGCCTCTAGGAAAAAGCAAATGAGGAGGAAGCAATGATTGATGGAATGGTAGTACTACTGTTCTTCCCAAGATCATTCTTAAACTTTACAATTTTCTCAAACGACCGTTTTTATTGGCGGTCAGCCATTTTCTAATAAATTGGTACGATAAAACACTACAAAGCATTTATAAATAATTTAATGCTCATGTCATGCCAGTTTTATGCTCCAGATTTTGTGGCTTTCTCTGACAGCCTAGCACTGTGCACCGATCCGACAGTTCAGTATGGATGCGAATTGTACAAAGGGTTGCTGAAGGATGTGCCCAGAGCGGACATCCCAAAGGGTGCGGTCACAGTGGAACTTCCCAGATGGTTCGATCACATGCCCCTGACGCCGTTGGAGTCGTACTGTCTATTACTACAATCTTTACTTCAAGATAACGGAAATAAGGCCAACCTTGTGTAAACATTTGGGTTCAGGAAGTGCAAATATTACGAACTTACTGGGTTCCAGCATCCCAATGGTAATTGTTGGGGCAATCTGGCTTTATGCACATGTGACTCCCTGGAGTATTAATGCACAGTTCGCCCTCACTGCAAGTATTCGCCGATGTTTTGCACTCATTGATATCTAAAAGGGTTTGGAAAGTTGACTTTGGAGTAAGGCAGTTCTCAGCATTGACACTTTGCTAAGGGCCCTTCATCGCCAAGAGACTGTCGTCTCTCGTACTTGTGAGCCTTTTCCACTCGTTTGGAAGTGGTTTTGTTATGTTTCACTAGGCTTGCACCGCTCATCAAGACATTACATGCTATAAAATACGTAGGCAGAATATCATTACTAGCTCCTTTGAAAGACGTATGGATAAGATGCTAAAATTGCAAATCTGATTGCTTCCAATAATTTCGATTGGTATAGCTTACAGTTTGATTAGTTTGTAATTTTCCTGTCGAGGCATTCATCAGAATCAGCCAACATTCGAAACAATTAGTTTTGCTTACATTCAAAACAGTCTGCTAGGCCATAAAAGCCTGGTTACCACCTTTGTAGACTTGAATCAAAAGTTTGGGTTAGTAAGATAATCACCTTTGCAAAGGTTGGTCAGCGGACTGAGTTCGTAGCCGGGAGGGCAGGAGCAGCGATATCCGCCATAAGTGTTGTGGCATTCGTATTGGCACGGACTAGGTCCATAGCCAGGGGCGCATTCATCAATGTCTAGAAAAAGACGGTGCTTCGCTCTATTCGCGTACTCCTTTTTTCTCGCCTACATGAGGAGTGCAATGACCGCCCACAAAGTGAACATTACAAGGGGAGAGTAAGATTACCGTCCAGGGAAAGGAAGTGATGGATAATGAAAGTGACAACGGTTAGTTTCTTAATAAACGCGTATTATGTATCAACCGAGACAACGGCTAAATTCTTCACCTTACCTGATTAAGTGGTTAATCAAGATAATGGGTCGATCATAAAACAACTTACCAACGCATTTTGCCGACTCAGAATCCCACGTAAATCCTGGCTCGCAAGTTCTACTTGACAGGCCTATAGAAAGGAAATGTTTCTTGGTCACGGTTGAAAAATCAACCACGCTAGAGTGGAATGCATTTCCTTTGCCAAGTGAAGCAGTAGTGCACTTCTAAAACGACATAGAAGATCTGACCAAACGTTTAACGGTTTGCTGCTAGTGACATCCGTTTCTAGCGGCTGTTATTCCTGAACCGTGAAAGCCAGGAAATGCAGCATAACTCTTAGCGTCAAGTAAAAGTGACAACAAAGGTAAGCCTCGCCATTTTGCACGGTAAAAAAGACAAACACATTTCTTATCGTGATATTTTGTGTCTAGCTCCAGTTTATGAGGTTGCCAAATGACTGCGATGTTATCCGTCGCTTCTGCTAAAGCTATTATAACGTGAGCATTACACCGCTGCTGCTGCTGCTACTGCTGCTACCCATTACGGTTGGTTCGCAACATCGCCCCTAGGCATGCGTAAAAGAGAGCACATTGAAGAGACTCAGCAGACTTAAAACATTGAAATGTAATATTGAGGACATTGATGTCACTGTTTTGCTCTTATCGTGGGTTCGGAAAGCTATTCTTTTCCATACATTGTCAATACTACAGCCACAAGGAGTTGTACCATCATGTTTAAATTATTATCATTCCTCTAAAAAGGTCCTCCAAAAACAGGCTTAGAAAATGCTGATTCGTAGTTCAGCTGCACTTGGTTGTCTTGACTAGCCATGATGGAATCAAACGCACTCAAACAGGAGTGTTTAACAGGGGGTTGGCCGTCCGGACACAGACAGCGGTATGAACCGGGCTCATTGATGCAAATAGCCTCCGCAGGACAGATATTCCCGTTGGTGCCGCATTCGTCAATGTCAACACAGTTTGGAGCCCCATCATCCAATTCGCCAGCAAAACGGTAGCCTCGAGGACAGACTTGACGGCACTCATGTGAGCCTGGCAAATTCACACACGCCTCATTACTTCGACAGCGTGCTTCCCCATTCTTGCATTCGTCAATATCTACAATCCAAATAATCGGTTCACTGAGCCCAGTCCTCGACAAAAGGCTGTTGAATAAGCACAAACCATCAAATTTCTAACACCGAATTTCCAAAGTCTCAAGCATGCATAGCCAATACCTGATCGAACTTGAGAGGTTGCCTCAAGCGGCTAGCAGACATTCTCCACCACGGAAGGTTACAGTTAAAGCCATGTTTTACTCAAATAAAGCAGTTATCTCACCCTGACAATGGTTGTTGATGAGCTCATAACCAGACCTGCAGGAGCACACGTATCCACCGTAGGTGTTGATACACTGGTGACCGCTGCACACATCCTTTCCCGATCGGCATTCGTCAATGTCTGTGATGCAACACACAATAAACCTATAGGGTCTGTTTAACGTTTATTAAAAGTGAGGGAAATTAGTAAAGTAAGGCATGCAAGCTCGTCGGTTGGAGTTTGTGGAATTTCATCGTACAAACTACTAAAGAGTTGTCCAAATGCATGACAAAGTGCTGAGTCTAACATGGAGTCGATTTCTATGCATAATGAACTTACAGTCAGCAGTTGGACCTGTAAAATATTAAAGGTTATAAAAAATCGCTATGTTATTTTTATAAAATAGTAGTATTTTTAGTTGCAACAAATAATCTGCCATAGGATGGTCATTGGAATGGAGTGATGTTTGCAATTAAGTCATTTGAAACAGCTTAATTCTACATGGCCGAAATCCACCATCACCGCTGTCATCAAACGTGGTAGCTCGTCCTCAAGAGAAAGGTAAATCACTGAATGCGAAACTCACATCAAGCCTCAAATACACGAATTACAAAGCTGCTTTCACACACACTTTCTAATAATTAGTCCAGAACGTTTTTGGAAAGCGGGCTAACGCTGCAGAAAAATTTTCAATGAAAGTAAAAGTAAGCGACACGCAATCGCACGAAGTCTTGCTTTCAACGCGACCAAGAGATGACAGCAACCATGGTAAAAATTGCATCGTCCCTTCTTTCTCTCACTGGCGCGTACATTAAAAATTTCATGAGAAAAATTCTCCGGCATAATAAGTCCTTGAAGGATGCCCCTTTCACAAAGCATCCCCACAATTTGTGATGTGAGGTGGTGCGCGAAAAAAGTGACTGTTTATGCACCACTGCACTAACTGCACGATAGACAAACCTACTCTAGCTTTGTAATTTTTCCTGCTACCTCAAAGATCTATTGTAACACCACGATACTGCTTTTATTGTTTTTGCGTAATCACAGCCCAATGACTGCTTAAAATTCGCCAGCTTTTATTTCTCTACACTCAACGAATGCAGAAATTGTAACTACCCGAATAAATGGGAGTAGAGGCTAGGGTCGTGACCCACCACTCACCTTCGCATGCATCTCCAGATGCTGAAAGCTGTAAACCCTCACCACACCCTGGGACGCAAGTGAAGGCGCCCGGCTTGTTGACACAACGCTGCCCCGCTGGGCACACAAGAACGCCGGCGTTTTCACCCTCTGTGCACTCATCGATGTCTAGGCACGATCTTCCATCTGGCGATAGGCGGTAGCCTTCGTGACACTTGCATCTATAACCTGGTGACGTGTTCTCGCATATTTGATCACAGGTATTCAGGGCCGGGCTCGAACATTCGTTAACGTCTGAAGACAATGAGGGGCAGAGGCGAAAACGCTCAAATTCAATTTCCTTCAACCATGTCTCTACGCACTAATGCAACGTTGCCTACCTCGACAGTAGTCCAAGTTGGCGGAACCAAGAAGCTGTCTTCTGCCATCCATACGTGCCAGCACAATCTCAAACCCTTCTGGGCAGACAGCACCACTGACTTTCGAGATCGTAGTATCGGCAGAGAGAGAAATGAGCCCCTTGGCGGGATCACTAAAGACGAAGAGTCGATCCACGAAAAGGTTTTGTGAGAGGAAGCGCTGTCTGCGTCCAGCTGAAGTAGTTAGATCGGAGTTCCAGGCGTAGGGTTCGATGAGGCGGCGGCCACTTGTCCAGTCCACCACGCCATATGTGCGTGAAGAGGAGGCGTGGAGCTTGCCTGAAGGGAAGTTGCCAACATATTATTGCTTTGCTGTCTGTGCAAACAACAGTGCATGCAAAGGAAATAAACTCAATGCCAGTTTAGTGGGAAAGCCTTTCCCAATGAAAAAGTGACTGTTATATAATTTAAAATGGATAGTCAGCGCGAATAAAGTTGTTCCATTTATCGTCTTTCAGGATTTATTTTGAAAGAACCTTTGACAGATCCTTTATGAATGTATTTGATGCAAATACGAACTAAGAGTGGTTTTCTCATTCGGTCTACTGATGCGACATTTTCCGATGACAGAATGAACTTTTCATTGGGGAACTTTCCTTTTCACAACTGTGGTTTAAGAAGAAAAAATGGCATTTTTGTCACTGCATCCGATGTTGCTTGTAATTAGAGGAACTACTTTCCATTCGAGGCTTAACTTTTCCTTGCATTTTGTTCGTGAGAGCTCGGTGAACTGGGCATGTGCAACGATATGAGGCAAAGAAGTTCTCACACCAGACGTGATGCTTCAAATCATTAAGAAGATTTAAAATGATTTAGTCGAATCAAGCAGTAAACCAGGTCGTCCACATTTACCGAGAGCTAAGGAATTTTTGTAAAAATTGTAAATCTCTATTTGCAGTATCACTTTTGCAAAGGAGGAGGTGGTCGAAGAATAATAAAGATTGTGTTGCATAGATTTTTGCTAACTAATAAACAATCACCATGCCAACGTTTATTTATTTACTTATTTAAAGGTGCTTCACAAAGACAGCTGTTGAGGCTCAACTGTACGAACGTGCATAAGTCCGTGGCCAAAATTTTGTGCTAGTCGATCCAAAAAATTTAGCCAAAACTTGGAGACAAATGGAGGTTAAGTGGCCTAGCAGCGAGGAGGGATGTTGTGATAAAATTACCCTTGTTGATAGCTGCTTATAACAACTTTGACCGCTTCACGATTGATGCAGCAAGTGGGTTGACCTCAGCCCTGAGTTGCTCGTCACCCTTCATTTTGATTTATTAAAAAATTGGTATAAAAAAGGTCGCAGCATCTCAATCTTAAGCACACTCGATCCTACAGGAAGGCTAACATCTCCAAAGCGGCAAGTCCTTCGCAAAAATTTTGACCCTAAGTGAATACAATAAGTAGTGTTCCTCCCTCTTGTCAGCAGATGAGGCATGAGGAGGTCTCACCTTTGGACGGATCTAACTGAACGATCTGTTCTTTGAAGTCGTTCAGCTCAACCTTAGCGCCAGCACTCCATGCAGGCACATCTTTGTCCTCCACAGCGTCCGGCCGAAGTGCAATGGGACAATCGCCGATGATGGTGGTCTCCATTCGCAGCACAACTGTCTTTTCCTGCTTAATGCCGTAGTCCTCACCGTTGACGGGACGAAGAGCAAGTTCTAGTCGAACATTTGACCCGTCCGCAAACTGTCCCAAGCTATTCCATGTGAATTCCCCATTTCTACCTGTCACGTACTCACCATTCGATGCGCGCTCAATCTATACATGTAAAAATATCATCTTCTACAGATAGTAATATTCCTATGCAAAAATGATATTGTGACTGAATCATAAGGAGTGGAGACAAAAAAATAGCTATAAAAATTTTTATAAGGTCCATTCGAAATTTAAAATATGCCGAAATTAACACAAGTTTTCACGAACCATGTTTGCATGGCAGTTCGTTCTGGCCGATGTTCTGCTAGTAGGAAAGCAGAATTAGGCGTACTCATAATTACTTTTATGTTTGACTCAAATTTGGGTAGCGTGCGTGTTAAGTGAGAACGAAAGTATAACACTCGAATTGATACCGACCGCAGCACAATACACTACATGATCTCGAACTTGGACACCTGCACTGTCACAAAGTAGTGAATAAAATCGGTCAAATTAGGCTTACTTCTGTATGATCAGATGAATTTTATGCAACTCTTAATCGCCTGTTCTCAGTCTCTTAAGCTAATTCGTCTTGTGATAAGGAGGTGGAGGGTTTGGCATCTGGATCGAGCATTCAAGCCAAACGACTCAAAGTTGGCAGTAAAACATATTCCATGTCACACAAAGTAACTCGATTGATGAGTTGCCATTCAGCTTATGCAAGAAGTCGGATTGACTGGGGTGTCAACTGCAGCTCACCTCTTTAGCAGCATACCAAAAGACGGGGGAGGCTATCTCCGAAAGGACCTGCAGGCAAAGTGAGTGCTCAGAAGGCACGTTTAGGAACTCAATTCGACAACTGGTGGCCTTTGACGACGTCGCGGACCAATTTCCGACTATGCTGATACCAGTCAGAGATTTTCCGCCCAAACGTCCGCGAAGTTCACCAATTACATTGCCAAACAATGGTCGATTCTTATCTGGAAATCAAAATTATGCTTGCAGCTAGTAAGATGACTTTTTCGTTGGCGTCGACTTATTGAATTGTATGCAGGAACCTTCACTTGAGTAAGTTGGTGGATTAGTTTGTTTACTTCCACTGTAAGCTATAGTCTCTCTGCCTCAAGATATGCGTCCATACATAATTTATAGCTTACACAGCATCGGCGATATCCTTCATTCGGCAAACGTTCCAGTTGAGAGGCAGAAAAAAGCAATTACTTCTCATTTGGTCCCTTAGTCAGTGCACCACATTATGAAAGTCCTGAGAGATGCTCTTATCACCTACGGATAGTTGAATTTATCATTAAAAGATATGCGGACGCCTCTCAAAAACCCCAAAAATGTATGCCGCGCAGAGTGAAAAGATAGGTCTAAGTGCTTTTTCCCCTCTCAATCGGTCAAGCCTACATACATTTATTCATCTCTCTGAAAGTATTCTTCTTCACTTCGTATTGCACATTTATTGTGCCTTTTAAACTTTTCTCCAAAATGAATGGCATTTCTTTTTTCACAAACTAGGGAACAATCTCACAGCACTGCGTAAATCTCCCATCCCATGCATCTAAAGAAGGATTGAGCGCATGACTCGCCTTCCCCATTACTGTCCGCTGTGGAAGCCATTCATGACCTATAAATTCAACCACTCACATGGGAAAATACGGATAATTACATGGACTGATTTTACTCACCAACACAATCTAATGTGCTGCTCGCAGGTGGATAGCATTTTTCCACCTCCTCGGCATGCCCTTCGCATTCACGAATCGACTGTGCGGCGACATATTTCCCATCTCGCAAGATAATACAGTTACGTGTGCGGCGGCGTCGACCACTTTCGCCCGTTTCACCCTCAGTGGAGGAGCAGTCAGGCACGCACTCAGACCAGGCAGACCACGAGGACCAGTTGGCACCAGCACCACTGCCGCCACCCGTGGTGCTGGGACACGGTTCACCTTCATCCACAAAAGGTAAGGAGCATGTTCGGCTATCCTTGGCGCTTCCGCGGCACAGGTGTCCTCCGTAGGACGGTGCTGGCTCAGTGCAGGTGCGAGTACGTGACTGTATGCCTACGCCACATCGTCCAACACAAGCCGACCATGAAGACCAATTGGACCATTCTCCGTTGACTATTTCAAGTTAAAAGGAAGCAAATTAACTGCTGCATATTGCTTACATTCCAACACTTCCAACTACCTGCGCTGAGGTCTCATTTCATGGGTGAATTATTGCAGATTTATGTTTTGTGATAATTTGAGTTTTCCAACAATAACTTCGGAAAGGTCGTTGTGACGAAGTCTGCAAAATGATTTACTACCTTGATTAAAACAAATTACTATATCATAGGAGAGAGACTCTTGATTAGGCTCTACTTGAATGCTGGAATTGTGTATTCATCGAACGGCAAGTTGCCGACGTTAAACAATAATTGATAGGTTAGTGTTATGTGGCCACATTAAAAAGCCAACAATTGGATTTCCCAGGGATAACCTTGTCCTTGTTATTTACAAGATGGATAATGCACGTTCAAACCATTCCTGCACAAGTTACGCTCATAAGGAGCTCCAATAGAAAAGCTGTGACAAGTAGCGTAAAGCAAGATTGTGAAATGGTAAATGTGGAGTAGAATATAGCTTTGCCAAATTTCAGAGCACGCCTCCATAAAAGAAATGTTAATAAACAACAATTTTGGGATCAAAGCTAATTACATATTTAGTTGTTGGGACCGACATGCTGCTAGCCTTCCGTTTGACGATAACTCAGTGTTACGAGTGAGTGGAGGCAATTTGCTCTTCGATACGCCAAGTCTGGTTGGTAAAACAGCGGAAGCGTCTAGGCTCGATGTAGGCAGCATATGCAAGGATTTGCACCTCGTTAGCATATTGCGTGCCGCCCTAATGCACGGTGATGCATATATAGTAATGATTTGCATGTTGGACTTGATTAGGACGCAAGACAGCAGCCCAGAGAGGAACCTACTCCGATTATTTATCACATTTCTACGCAATTTGTTAGAAAACGCATTCACACACACACTTAGTGAGGGAAGAAAACTGAATTACTTATGGTGTTTATGCAATGCACTCAAGTCCCTGTGGTTAACTTCAGCATGCCCCACGCCTAGGAAAATAAATTCAGGGGGTGAAACCAAATGGTCTGAGGTTTCCACTAACTATCTGGGTTTGCTGAAGAAAACGTAAAAAAACTTCCTTCTGGTGGCTTAAAATGAGAACGGAATTAGGAGGCATTTTAATTCATATTGACTGCTTCCCCGCATTTTCACATCTATTGAGGTTGTGCCAAATACCAAGTGCTTTGGCTGCGCAGAGGCATTAATGCTGGTGGTAGCTACCTGGGCAGGGATTCTCTTGACATTCGGTAGTTTCGCTATCACCACCCTCGGGTTGACAGGGTTCTCCTCCAAATTGTGGTGGGGGATTGTTGCATTGGCGTGTTCTCCGTCGAATCCCACCTCCACAGCTCTTGGAGCAGTGCGACCAGGCACTCCACTGACCCCAGTTACCGTTAATAGGGCAGGACTTTCTCTCACAGGCTCGTACCTAAAGGATGAACGTTCAAAACATAATAGCAAACAGTTTTGTTGTGTTTGTTTTGTTTAAATAATAATTGTCGGTTTAAATGAGGACTAGCGCATTTTAATCTGCGAGCTAATGCATTCCAGACATTTCCTCTATAACGTGGCTTTCTGACACCGTTAGCAACAAATTCCGCTTCCACTGGTTCTTTGATGCAATCATCGCAATGAGTGTGAACTGATTAAATATTCTAGCTGCCTAATAATTTAATTTCACATATTTTGTCAGAGGAGTGTTTCAAACTTCGGAATTTACAGTTTTATTGACTGTGCCATAAGCATTTCCACCAAATTGCCATTTTTTATAGAGATAGCATCTACCAGTGGGTGAACTAAACTTCCTATTGTTCTTTTCTCACGCTGATGGGACACTTCTGTTCATGCATTTTGCATTCGAACTAAATGCCATAGGAGTGTAGCTTGATAATTTTGTGAAAATGAATTTGATTTTGAGTTAGGAACTCACCTGGCTCTCAGGTCCAACGCAAGGGCGGCCACCATTGGCTGGTGGGGGCATGTCACATTTGCGCTCACGATGTTGGGTGCTACCGGCACCACAGGTCCGTGAACAGCTGGACCAGGGACCCCACGAGGACCAGCCTCCATTAACCGGGCACAAGGGCAGACCTTCACAGAGCACATCCTCCATCGCCTCACCAGGGCAAGGCTGTAGTTAAGAAATGAACACTAAGATAAAGCAGTGATGCATCGATCCGCATCTAATCTGGTTAAAATTTGCAGCCTTCAATTTCGATGTTGGATCTTCAACCGCGGTAAGCTCGAGACAATAAGTGGTTTGCGAGAGAGGAAGTATCTTCAGGATCAAACCATTATAAAGTAGATTAAAAACCCTCATTTTGTTTGAACCCATTGCTTCTGTTCTATGCCAATCGCGTTCATGAAAGTTTAGTGAAAAGGTGGTCGAGTACACAGATGACAACAAATCTTACAGGGGAATAATCATTTTTCATCTAAGATGGTAAAAGGATTCAACGATGCGAAAAAGGGACAGCTGAATACAAAATGATAAGCTCTTTCTGAAAGCCTTTGTCATTTAAAATGGAGATGACCGTTCAATCACCACGACCACTTTCAGTTCACTTCACTCTAATCGTTACCTGCTTGCTTAACCAAATGTAATGCTTGGACAGGTTGTCGAACTCTTCACATTAGTAGATCTTTGAACTACACAGCCCGAGTATTATGACTTCGACCTCAGGAAAGTCTCGGACAGTACGCCGCAAAGTTTCAAGCTTTGACAAAATTCGAATTAAATCAACATCGTTTTGTGTAAAAGCAAATCGCTCCTATAGTTTTCCAGCAGGAAAAATATAACCATAACTAATTTTCCTTTCCTTCGGCTGACATACTGCACCTGAGTCACGCAACGTCCCTAGACGTGAGGCTCACCTTGCCGCCGTTGCCAGGAGGCGGAGAGTCGCATTTGCGGCTGCGGTGACGAAGACCGACGCCGCATGTGGAGGAGCAAGCACTCCAGGGACTCCAACTACCCCACACTCCGTCTACCGGACAAAAAGCCTGCAAGCATGCCCGCGTCTCAGTGTTCTCACCCACACAGTAGGCACCGCCATTTCTTGGAGCCGGTGATTCGCACAACCTCCTTCTGCATAAGAAAAAGTTAATTCTGTTTGACTTACTGGCCAAGGACTTACTAGTGGAGTCGTATACGCATTTCTATATTGTTGCATTCAGCAATATTTTCAAAAGTGCCTTCATGACGATAAGGTTTGATAGTGCTTTTAACTTGTTTCTCTTATTAAAACGTGAGTTTGAAGCATTTGAAATCAGTTCCGCAGTAACGGTAAATTAGCCTTTCCCATTTATTGTACCTGCCAACTCACGATGGCAAACATGAGATGGGAATTTCGGCTGAAGAAACATAAAAGCAGTATCTGCATAAATGATAGAATCAAAGTTTTACGATATGCATGGGAACTTTGAAGATACCGCTACGATCAAAAGTGTTTGATAATCATGCAGTCAAGGGGGTATTGTTCCTCCCAAGCTAACTTTAGATGTAATAACGTTTTTAGTCAGCGGGAACAGGTAATGCATAAAACCGAAGGAGTTGGAAGAAAGCAGTGTAGATTAATTCGAAACGCTACAGAGGTAGTTTTTTATGAGTGAGGACCACTATTAGATCATTCCTGAAAATGTAAAACTCTTTGTAAACATGCACGAGAATTAACTGGAATGGGACCCTTTTTTAGCCAAGCATTTACACCAGCTCAAAATGCACCTAACAAAGTATAAATCCTGCTACTTCTTAGAGCTTCTGATGTTTTGCAGAATGGGAGATGTCTCAATCAGTGTGCAACAAAATTTGCGGACAACATAGCAACTTGATACACCTATTAGGTCTTCTTACTGGACAACGCGCTGTTCGTATCAAGCAAGCTGGTAATACCTTTCAAGTCGAATGAAAAGGAAGAGAGATAATGCCACCATTCAACCAAACGTCGGTGAGATTTGCCTTCTTTATTCACTATTTTGTAATAAGTTGTCCCTTTTGTCGCGTAAACACGAATGAGGGTTCGGGGACAAAAGAAGGATTAAACTATAACTGATTCTATGTGAGATTACTAAATCAAAGGTTATTCATGTGTATGCGTCTATCCCTTCTAGCTGGATGTCGACCGACTGAAAATTATTGAAGCTTATGAAATATGTCGCTTGTCTGTGCAACTTTCAGTTTCGATAACGAACCCTGTCCCTGTTTGTACGCAGTAGCTCACAGCTCTGCTGTACGGGGAAAATACGTGTTCATCCTGAGTGGTGTGACTTTCTTCGCTTAAATGGGAGCTGTGAGGCTCCACACATGTAGGCGTGAATATTATTAAGCCCAAGAACGGGGGCATGTTAAAGTAAAAATTGTTAGTGCGAAGTTTTTATCTACTAGACGTTGGTACTGTTTCCTAACTTTATTAAAGTTATCATTCTCTAGGTGCAGTGATTTATGATTTGGGCGTCTGTCTGTCCTTTTGTCACAATTTGCAATGGACACTGAAGATGAGAGCGCGGGCTGCAGATAGTGTTGGACGCATCGTTGAGAACCAGAAGTGGAGTTACATGCTGACCTGCTGAATTAGATCTGATGCAATTGCCGTGGAACTTTCAAAAGTCCAGTAAACGTGCATGCTTGCAAAGACCAAAATTTTGGCAGTTGTGACAAGTAACGATTGCTTTCGGCTAGGAAACACTTAGACAGGGCCTAAGTGAGCAGTCTTCTGGTGGTCCGAGAAGGCAAGTTCTCCAATCTGTGGCATAAAAATTTGGTCGAATGACTCTAACGCCAAGGATTGATACATTCTCAGTACAGTCATTTCAAGTCGTCACAGTGAGATTAAAAACAAATGAGACTACTTAAATCCTCCGTAGAAATTAATTTGTAATGTTATTGCGCAGCCTGTTTATCGCAGGTTTTTATTCTCTGCAATAAAATTTCAGATCTCTACCCTTCTGCACGAAACTTCGTTTATTCTCACCACAAAATGAATTTTATTATCAAGGTTAAATTAAATAAACAGTACACGAAAGACAGCCTCTTCACCTCCACCGCCGATGCGGCGATTCGGAGGTCTGCAGTTCTAAAATAGGCAGCTGCTTTCACGGCTAGCCAACGGCAGCGGTGAAGAAAGGAGCACATCAAAATTAAAGGGAAAGAGCGCTAGGTTGCTATTTTTAACTGAGCAGTCCCAACTCACTTTGAGACATTAACGGATCCACGAAATTCTCCAAAGTACTGAAAAACGAAATATTTTCCTCAGTTGAAGAGTGTGCATCTTCAAGCACCTCATGTCAGAAGTAAATATTTTCTATTTAAGGCTGAAAAAATGCAATTTTTTGCACAATCGTGGCAAAGGTAAACGGATTAGACACCTTATACAAGGAAACTAAGCAGATTCAGATGCTATTCATTTGGTCCCCTTCCTCTTTCCATCATGTTTCCCTATTAATAGGGCTTGGCATTTTCCACCTCATTTTGTTAAAATGAGATTTAGGTCGTACTTTTAAGCATGTTTGTTTAAAGAACATCCGAAATGTGATGTGAGGGTAAATAAAATAGGGCCAAGTGCTGCATGAAAAGCGAAAATTCCACTGACGCGCAGTAAAAAAGAAGGGACTGGTTTCTGCGAAGTGTAGCATTTGCAGTGAATCAAACTCGCCTCGCTCTTGCTGCCAGGGCCAGCATTCAAGGAAGTGGGCAAGGAAGAAGGAGGCCATCTTAATTACACCATCATTTATATCTACGTGACCAATAAAATATGCCACATTACAAGAGGTGAGTGGCCTCAAGTTAGCAATTTTTTATGCACACTACATGCACCCGCTGAACCAGCGGACGGACAGACGGACTAACGAGATCGTTAAATAGGGACAAACACACACACGCATTTACAGACTTTGCTATTAGGAGGGTACAGTTGTTTGCCTCTTCACCTCCTTTTTTTCAGCAAACGAAATCGCAAAGTCAACGATAATCACATTTTCTGCTTTTCCATCTCCACATAGGCAGGTTGAAAGGGAGCGGACTCCACGCAAACCCACATCAAGTGACCATACAAAGTGGGCAAAGTACAAACACAAGTTCTTTCACGTTGATTCTGTAATGCGTGCTGGCGAATGCAAGCACAGAGACCTCCGAAATCACAAATAACAAGGCATGCTCCACGTCATTCCGATGTAAAAAAAAACATTTGAAATGAGCTTTACTCAGTATTAATGAAGACTAGCATTTAAAGCACCGTAAAAGTCACTCGACCTTTTATTGCTAGGCCATCAATTTGTCGTTTGATGTGATCGAGAGAACGAACGTTTATAAAGCCGACTTCTCGTGAAATAGCATGCATTTCCTTTAAAGAATGAAATTGATGACTAGGCACCAAAATGGCATGAATTTTTACTTTCATGTGCAGTTCTTGCATGGGAGAAGACGATTAAAGGGAAGACGTTCGACGAGGACATTATGACAGATAACTACGGCTACGAAAATCTACCTTACAATTTTTTAAATATCCGCTGACAGTCTACAGATAGCATGTCTTGCCCAACGATTGAAAAGTTGCCATGGTCTAAGTTACGCTTACGTATCGTTAAGCAAGCCCACAATAAGGCTGGACAACTTAATGAAGGGGTTAATTGAGCCCTTTGTTACCGGACTTTTATCATAACGATGCAATCATGAATAAGTAAAGGCTTAATTTTCGTTCTGCAAAAGGCTCTGCCGCCCCTTATGACTTATAAATGTCTCCGCTCAGGCGCATCAATCTCGTCACCACAGCATTAACGTGACGCAAAATCCGTGTCAGTTGCTTCCATGACCACGACTGCCTGAAGGAATGCGTTGCGCTCTGAATTGCTATGTTGGTCGTGCAGCTCTACAAACTACAGTTATGTATCCCTTCTTCAGGCTACCAGAATGTCAGTTTTGGCTTTCCATGGTGCATACAAGACCACCAGCGAGGCATGTCATTACATCCCCAGGCAGCAGTTTTAGCTTCCCTCCCTAACCCAAACGGTACCTGAGGGAATAGACTAGTGTCCAAGGCGCACACTTCACTACAACGAAGAAGTGACATTGCTTCGAGAATTCATAAATCCGTATGCCAACCGTTAGCTGTCACTAATCCTCGAAACGTTGTAATCGAACCCTTGGGATTGGACTATGCTTCCATTTCGCAGGTTGGATGTTTAGCGTTCACACAGGCATCAGTGTAGACCATGTAGTTAATCTTTGTCTTTCTCAAACAGATTAGCTACTCTAAATTAAATAAAAGCACACACTTTTGGATGTCATTGGATTATCACCTCATGTTCATATCACAAGAGATGGAAAGCTTTTAATCATTGTTTCTTCGTTATTTTTCATTTCAACTTCCAGACTAAAGACATTTCCTTCGTACTTTTTCGTTCTGACATTAAAATTACAGTATGCAATGCCAATGCAAAGTGTTGGTTACGGGTGTGTACACAAAAGTGAAGAGCACACGTCTCCAGCAAAACAAATAAGTTAAAAGCAAAGCTTTTTTCAAAATACTTATAGCAGAACGAAATGTCAGCGCTTAAACTTCATTTGCGTTATAATCGAAACCTGGTTTGGTAACGAAAAGGAGAAAAGCAGACGACCCTGCTTAGCCAAGGGGAGATTTATCATATTTAAAGTTGATCGAGTACAGCTTGCTTACCGCATTTGAACTCCACGACCGCAGGTGGTACTGCACGGCTGCCATGGCATCCATTCGGACCATCCACCTGGAATTTGAACTTGGAGGGTGGCAGGATCAGAGATTACCTCACCTTGGTACGAAGACGCCACGCAATGGTAGACGCCCTCATCCTTCTCGCTCACGCCAACGATTCTAAAGTCCCCATGAAGCAGAGCCGTAGCGGGCTAACACAGATCCTAATATTCTCTACAATTTTCGTGCGAGTTCCTATCCTTTTTGGCTTGGAAGCGTTTCTTTTTACATAGATATATCGCTTTCCCCTCAATAGAAAGGAGCTATGCCATTAGAGTTCAAGAATCTAAGATAGTTAATGAGTCTTAACTTTTAAATAAAGTTTTTTGTCCATACAAATCTGCTCTCCACACCATTCCAAGATATTGCTTCCTTCAGGTGACCTCAACACAACAACTTACCATGTCTAACTGAAGTTTTCATTCAGTCACTACTTTTGCAACCTCTAAAAATGGCGCGCTTAATCGGACCAATAATTGTTACAATTGCTAACATGCAAAAGTGTTTATGAAATCTCTAAAAAGTGCATCATGGGACCGTTAGGCTACTGAACTATCTATGAAGCCAACGAAAAGCCGCGCGAAATATTTTACATGAAATCAGAAATTCCTGGCAAAAGATACACTGATTCAATCGTTGGCTTAGCTCTCAGTTGCATTAGCAAGTCGTTTAGGGCTGCATTTATGCACCTCCACCGGACTACCTGGGATCAGAATCGTGGAAGTAAGGACCAGCCTACTGCATACACTGTTATTCGGTCATTTTTTTTCAAGCAAGCCGCGAATCGCTGCAGAATGACTCCTCTTTGCCTTGGTGCCTCATATTACTTTCAGGTTCTCATTGGGAAACTTTGTACTTTGGCGGTTGAAATTTGAAATATATTTATGGCAGAGTGGAACAAGGTTTGGTTTAAGGTTCCTAGATAGTAGTGGCAACTTTTATATGATAAGAAAGTGCTAGCAAATTTCACAGAAAATGCTTTTTAGTTTACCGGAGTGAGCCATTGCGAATGATTGAGTGTGTAGAACTCATACGCACAGTTGCGTTGTTGTGATACCATGAGATGATTGGTGTTGGATGACCTTCGCCTTGGCACTCCAGAGTGACGATTTCGCCCAGCGAGGCCGTGGAGTTGGCAGGTGTCTTAACCAACTGTGGTTTGCCTGCAAAATCGAGGTTCGTACATGCTACTGCTGGTCAAAAAGTAACGCAGATGTTGTACGGGTAGACGTACTTTCGACTACAAGTCTCAGTTCGCCCAGATCTTCACCCACCGGATTGGCCGCTATGCACTGGTACACACCATTGTCTGCCGACTAAAAATTGGTGGATGCTGCTCAGTGAGTTGATTTTTACTTTATGAAAGTGAATGGGGATGAGGAACGCACCCGCGCCATACTTATGACGAGACTAGAACCATCGTTTTCAATGTTGACACGCTGATCACTCTCGATTGGAATACCATCTTTCAGCCATACAATTGAATCGGCATCACCGCTTACATTGCAGTAGAGTCGTGCCATCTCATTGGTTTTTATGGCTTCGTCTGACTGGTACATGTGGACTTTTGGTCGGGCTAAAATTAAAATCAATCCGTGAGGTAGGGCATACCCTTCACTGTTTAACTTTATCAATCACATCACTTAGCAAATAACACGCTGCTTAGTCTGGATTGTCAAATTTCGAAAATCAACTTTCTAATGTAGTTGGTTCTTGTCAAGGACAGGTTGCAACTTGTGGAATTGTGAAACTCTAATCTCCTACAGAAACTGAGTTAATTATGATTAATTTTAAGTAAATAAGTCAGGCAAATTATTTATGCTTGTAATACTCACTTTTGACAGTAAATTGGAAAGTGTGCTCCTTCTTCCCCGCGTCATTAGTAGCGATACAAGCGTACTGACCCGAATGCGATTCTCTCAGAGGACCGATGATAAGCGATCCGATGCCATTGTGACTGGGATTGCCTATGAGGGGACAAATTAGAGGATTTAGTCAAACTGGACTGCCTTGTTTGACAGTAACAAGATTGCTGTCGTAAACTTACTCCCAATCATGTTACCCTTGAAGGTCCATTTAATCTCAGGCTTAGGATGCCCATCAGCAGTGCAACGGAACTGAATCCATCGGTCTTCAAAGGCTTCTATGCTGCGATTCGGTGTGCTTACGAAAGTTGGGACAGCTAAAGAAAATGCATTTTAGTACAATAGGAAGTGTCCAGGTAAAATTTCAGAGGACAATCAACTTTGTAGGATGCTCACTAAACACGGTCAAGTAGGTGGAGTCCATAACTCGATCCTGGCCAGGTAAGTCTGCAATGCAGAAGTAATTTCCAGCATCTGCAGGCTATAAGAAAACAAATTATGTATGCGTAAATGCCATAGTTCGCATTACTTTTCAATCAATTTTCAAATCTATGTTACTTTAAACACGCAACAAAGCCTAATTGTTAGAGGTTCGTGATTGCCGAAATTACCTGAAGATTGTGGATGGTAAGGCGAGTGGGAGAGTCGAGTCTAGCTCTTGAGCCAAGACTGACAGCTACAGGTTCATTCTTGAACTCCCAAACCACTTCTGGCATTGGTTTACCCTCAACTTGGCAATCGAGGGTGACTGACTGACCTTCATATCCGACGCTTGACAAGGGCATTGAGACGCGTGGCGGGGCTGCGGTTAAGCACGCACGGTGGGCGAATAAAGTATCCAGTCATTGACAATTTGAATGCATATGCGATCAACATGGAACTTACTGCTAACAATAACATTGAACGCAAGCCTATCCTCACCAGCAGGATTTCTGGCTACACAAATCCACTCTCCTTCATCTTGAGGTCTGAGAAAATAGGTAAAGAAGTAAAAATAACAAACTCTTCATTGCACATCCGTCAGCTAGGTAACTACTTGCGCGATGTAGGAACCTTACATTCATCTACCTCATGCTTCGATTTGCAAGCTGCCATGACCAATGGCCCTTGTAAGTTGTCGGCTAATGCATTTTGATTCTTCAACAATTCAGATAAGGTAGATAGGATTCAAGCTCTGAAAAATCACATCCGAACTGAATTCGATTGAATGACATTGAGATGAATGTTTTCAAATTCGTTGTTGAGTAAAGGATGTAATTGATGCAAATGCGCTCTTTTTAAGATAAGGCTACAGAAAAATCTGTGGTTGTTTTCTCGTTAACAGTAAATGCGGGAGCATGGAGCTTACTTAAGCGCGTTGAAAATAAAAAGTCCAGAGTCTGTGGTGGTGTAGAAGCTCTTAGTACGACTGAAGGAGACCCCGTTGCGTTCCCAAATGACAATGGGTTTTGGAATTCCCTCCTCAACTTCACAGTTAAGCTGAAGCACTGAGTTCATTTTGCCCGAGGCCTCAGTGGTTGCAGGACGTACGAGTTTTGGAGGCACTTAAACCCCAAAGTCATCGTTAGGATTTACTGTTTCCATTTAAGCTACTCTTAATTGCTTCACTTACCTAAGACCTCAAGACTGATTACAGCGTTTTGGCTTCCAGCTTCGTTGCTAGCTGAACATCTGTAGAGGCCTGCATGAGACCGTGTAGCACTTTCGATCAAGAGACCCTAAAATTGGGTACCGAAAGTGCTAGCATTGAAAGGTGAAGTCTTACCACGAAAACATGAGCTCACTACTTTTCAATAAACTGTATTGTAGATTTCATTTGCACCTCACACTTGTTGCTAGTTACCTGTTGTGGAAGAACCTGGAACCCAAGAACCTCATCCTGCGTAATCTGTTGACCAGAAGGTAGTCGCCATTGCACTTGAATTGGTGGGGTTCCAGTGACGGTGCAGGGCAGAACCACCTGATCACCCTCGTTTACAACAACTGGTGCAGTTGTAGTTTGAATAACAGGACGCTCTAAAATTTCGAATAACAATATGAGATTCCATGAAACAAGCTGCCCGGGTTTTGTGTCACACAAGGGATATGTTACCTATTACTTGAATATCAACAGTCTTTGAGTCACTGCTGATCTTGTTTGTGGCTGTGCACGTATACACTCCCGTGTCCTCCTTTCGAGCGTCCGTAATTGTCAATATACCAGTGCTTCAGCGAAGACATATGAAGACTTTGGACGGCAATGTTCAGGAAATAAACAGGTATTGAATATGTCTATAGGACACTCACGCAAGGTCAACATTTGTACCAATTCTGAAAAGGCCACCAGTGCTGCGAGTCCACTCAATTTTGGGCGGTGGATGGCCTTCGGCAATACATTGCACTGTGAACGTCGATCCCTCCCTCTCACGCATCTCTGCCCGATCCAGACGTACCAGAGGAGGCACTATGAGTCAACCGAATCCACGAGTCTTATTTCCGAACACACTAAGTAAGTGCTATAATTCTAAGGTAGCCGTCCTTACTGATGATTTCCAGTTCATAGGTCTTGGAAATATTTCCCGCCTCGTTGTGTGCAATACAGCGGTACTCGCCCGAGTCTTTCTGTCCCGAAATGAAATTCAACACTCGACTGTCCATATCGAAGGTATAATGTGAAGGCACTGTGTACGGTAGCAGAGGAGAGCCATTGTAATACCATGTCACCACTGGTGGTGGCGAACCCGTCACAGGACAAGTGAGACGAACTTGCGAGCCTATCTGTTGCGTCAACTTCTCTCGATAGCGCACAAAGTCCGGTGGAAAACGAGGAGCCGCTGCAAAGTAAGATTGAAGTTTTGGTACTCCATGTAAAAAAACATTGATTTTAAATCATTCTAAGAGGAATAATTTATTCGAACCACTGCCACTGCATATAAAATAATGCAGACTTACCAGTGACAGTGAGTTTAAACTGATAACTATCAACGCCAGCCTGATTCTTGGCCTCACAACGATAAATGCCACTCTCACTGGAGGTAGGCCGGACTACAGTGAGTACCTGCCCGCTGTCCTGCACCACGAAATAGTCCCCATCCTCTGACATGAGGATCGGCGACCCGTCTTTTGTCCACACAATCTCTGGTTGTGTGCTATTGAAGTCGCGAATGAGGCAGTGGAACGTCACCGGCACGTACTCGCGTGTCGAGTGAACCTCGGGAGGACTTTGTGGCTTTAGAATAGCCGGTGGCACTGGGAAAGATGCGAATATAAGTCGATTTCACCATTACATAGACCAAAATAAAGGCATGCAAAGATGAAGCGGAGGACTAGAAGCAAGTCGGAAGACATAGTCAATAAGTATGAGTGTACACAGGGTGGAGCACATACTGATAACGGTGAGATTGAATTTCTTTTCGATAGCTTCACCACCGTTAGAGGCCATGCAGGCGTAATCGCCAGCATCACTCTTCTGAACATTGGTGATTTGGAGGATCTGGTCACCCTGAAGGGGCATTACGGTCTTGTGCGACTCCTGAACTGAGCCACTGGTAAGGAAAGAACCGGGTGGGAAAAGCTCCACATCGCGTTTGAACCAGGTGACTCGCGGCGGTGGATCCCCTGTAGCCTCGCAAGACATATGTACCGTCTGGTTCTGAATGGCTTCGATGTTGATCCTTCTCATCGGGTCAATGAATCGAGGACGAACTAAACAAAACAGATAATAAATCGTTCAATTTACTCAAAATTGGTATCTATTTTGCTGATGTCCGGACCATGTTCGATCAGTATCAGTTTGACAGCTAAACAAGGTTTGAGAGTTTGGGTGACTCACCATGAACTAGGACATGGAAGGTCTGAGAGGTATGCCCAACCTCGTTAGAGGCGACACATTTGTATTCGCCGGCATCAGAGAGGCTGACACGGGGCACAGTAAGTCGGGAGCCGTCGGCTGAGATCTGAACGGCTGGTCCGCTGACTACCGATATTCCATGACGCTCCCACGTTAGCATTGGTGGAGGATCGGCGAACCCATGCAGTGGACAGTCGAGAAAGCGCGTCTGATTGACGAACCACTGCACTTCTGGCTGCATGTTTGACGTGTCGAAGCTCGGTGGTACTTGGAACAAACAAATCGGACATTCAACTCACCATTATGTTCTATTTTCTCAGGTTTCCGCTGAACAGTTGCGGCCAATCAGTAAATTACATTTCGATAAATCATACTTGAGGACTCAGAACTGTCACATCGGTTTCCTATTTAAAACCTTTTCACTAGCCCAATTCCTTTCTATCTATTTCACTAATGGCGATCTGTATTTTTCTAACATGCTGTTAGCAAGGGAAGAGAGCTCACCTCGAACACGGACTGTGTATTTCATCGTGTCCCATCCGATCACGTTACTTGCATTGCATTGGTAGGTACCTGCGTCACTCTTTTGGACACGGAAAATTGTCAAGGCTTGACGTTCCTGTGGTGAAGGATGCAACCGTGCATTTGGAGTTCACAGTAAAGTAGACAGATGTACACTTATAAAGACGACCAAACCGCTTCATTATGGCATTGATGCCAATTTACAGATCAGAGGAACATAAATATAAATTGTATTCCAAGTGAATTTAACACGCAAGAGTAAAATGGAAAAGTAACTACCTGTGATAAAACAGCACGCCTGACTAGCGAATCCTTGTCGGAGACAGTCCCCTGTTCGCCCAAAGGGCGTTCGACCACCATCTGAGTTGCGGGATCAAGCTCACTGCGGGTGAAGGTGAGACGAGGGTCAGGCGAACCTGTAGCGGGGCAAGGCAGTACCAACTCGTCACCCTCCTTCACCACGTATTCGCTTCGCAAGCGACCTCTGTCAATCCTGGGCGGTGCTGCACAGTAATAGCGGCCATTAGGTGACGGTTCATTACCTCGTGTCTCCTGTGAGCTTATAGTAACGTACCTCCAACTGTTAGGTCGACGCTAACTTCTAGAGAACCAGCCTCGTTTGAAGCTACACATCGGAAACGTCCGGCATCCACCGGCTGAATGGACACAATCTCTAGTTCGCGCTTCTGATTGACGAGACGATAGCTGAATATGCAAAAAATGTGACCTCTTCAAATGAACCTAACACCACGTGGCACTAGTAATTCCGTTTAATGCACTAAGTGTGACTCCGTTTCATTGCCCCAAGTCCAGTATAATTTTTACCAGTCGATCTCCGGCTCAATGTAGTCATTAGGAAGCCGAACCCTCTGAAGACACCACCATTGCAAATTGTGGGACGAAATTGGAGGTAATCGTTATTACTAACCGGAAAGGAAGTGGATCCAGTTTGGCGCCATCTTTGTACCACTCAATTGACGGTGTTGGATTGCCTATGACGAGGCACTCGAGGGTTACTCTACTTCCCACAGTACGCTCGATGCTATATTGTCTTTGTCCATCGCCATCCAGACGTGGAGCGTCTAACATAAAAAAGGGGTAATAATTTTACTACAAATAGTACAGAGTTGTTGTAGTATTTAGATAATGCTTGGTGCGATTTTAAAGTGAAGTCGGTTGTGTTGGTTTGACCTAGCGCAGGAAACTGAAAAAGGGGAAGACTTACAAATAACCTTAATGTCAAAATGCTTGCTGATTTCTCCGTAGGGGCTGGAGGCGATGCAGGCGTAGCGACCCGCATCATTTTCCTCCGCTGCAGGTAGGCGAAGGTGGACGCCATCATCAGAGATTTGGAAACGGCTCTGGGCCTCGGTAATGGGAACGCCATCTTTAGTCCATCTAATTACTGGCTTTGGTTCACCCTCAACCACACAGAAGAGTGCCACACTGCTGCCCAGAGACACGCCCTGTGTTCCTCCCTCGCTTGTGAATAGGAATTTGGGTGGACCTGTGCAAGAGACGTTGCCTTTCAGCTCAAAATATTCGGTTCCAAGACTATTCTGTACAGTACACTCATGAGCCAGCGTCAAGTAGCAGAGACCGTTGGGGATGATGCCTATCCTTCATTCTCCAGACCACTTCTGCACACACAAACCCAACGCTTATTCCATCAACCACTATGCTTTCCTGCTCACGTAACGCCTGTTAGCTAGCGTCAAGCACAGTCTCGAGGAAAAATTTTTTTGTTGATATTTGACGTCATGTATACCTTTAACATTAAGATTGCAAATAATACATTAATTTAATGCATCGCTACTTGAAGAACCTTGTTTTAGCTTGCAAGCACAACAATAAAAAGGAAGGTGTACTTAGCTAAGATGTTCGATTTTATATTTAAACAACCATCCATTTCCTCTTCTTCTTTTTCATTCAATAATTTCCAACTTGTAGCAATTATCTCCTTTGCAAATGAGAGAGCAGAGTCCATTCTTGCAATCGTAGCCCTCAAAATCACCATGAGCGCAGTTATCGCTGGTACAGTTTTTGTATCCGACGTAAAGTGGTAGTGCGACCGTTTCATTGCGAGACATTTTACGTTTGCTGTCATGCGTGACTTGGATGTGAACTCTGCTGTCGACTACTCCTTTGTTTGACGAAATAAAATTCTCAAAACAACCATTTTCAAAGCAGATAACAGCACATTCCCCCAGGTGACACCTGAAGCCCCGGAGTTGCCCACTCTTGCAGATGGACCTCCTGCAGCCCGCGAAAACGAGTCTGCCCCCTTGTAAAAACGGACTGAACTGCGAATTGACGATAGTAAGCGCAACAACAGCCAAAATAACAAGCGTCCTCATGCTCACAATCTTGCACCCATTTTCGTGCCTTTTATCGCACAGATTTGCTTTGGAAATCCATAAAACGATGGACCTTAATTGCCTGACCTAGTACACTGGCAAAACGTGGTTCACCAAAAAGCGAGACCTCCTGATCAGATTGCACTTACTTAAGAACTTTGTGAATGACAATAACACGCTAAGCACTTGTTTGCACAGATCAATTGGGACAAACTTGTAAAGCCGAAGTATCAGAAACACCTTTTCATGTTGACAGTGATTAAAAAGTACTGTCAAATAGCCATGACAGTAAATGGACGCGCAGTAGGATCCCCATATTTTTCGAATATTAGTGGTATTCTATTCACCTTTCTTTGTTCACGGTTGATTCATCACTGTTGATGCGGTGAATCGGTTTGGAGGTCTCTAATTGACATCATCTAGGGAGCCCACATGGAATGAAATAGGAGAGGATAAGGAAACATCTGGACACCTTGGGAGTCGTACACGTGAACCATACCACAGAACCATGTTTAGGGGTCACTCTCCCATTAAATCTCCGTCTTTGATTTAATTTCTTGTTGGCTAAACCTTCTTGCTCACCTGAAGTTGCACGTAAGATGGATGTCTTTGCGTTCGAATGTTACACACCTGTTGCAACTCCACGGAAAGGAAAGCAACTACGGCAGAATTATTTCGTGTTGTGGTCAAGGAAGAAGGAGGCGTTGATGGTAAATGACCAACTTACTCATGACAAGGACATTCCATTGGCGTTTCGTGCTACCAAATCTGTTGGAGACCACACAACGATATATGCCCGCATCCTCCGGCTTCACGTTGTGCAAATAGAGCTAGTAAAAACATAAATTTATTTAAAAAAGCCAAAACTGGAGCAATAAATACGGGTGAGCTCACAGTTTATATTTGAGTGACGTAAAATTTAGTAAATTCGGTTGGTACAATGATGCGCCAACATCCCAAAATTGCCTGATGGCCAATGTGTATAAAGTGACTTGGGATGTAATTTTGAAGGCATTTGCTCTTTCAGCTGAGGCCATTTACCCCTACTAGTAGCTTTTGTTGATAACATTATTTCCAGCATACAAACATGCTCCCACGAGCGATCGGTACTCGACTAGAGACACCAAAGTGGAGTAGAGAGCCGAGTTATGCTAACTTGTAACAAAACTGCAGTAACGAGATCTCACCATAGTGTTTCGAATGGAAAAGTTGGCCCTAGGAAAATCGTAGTTGTTGATCGGTTCACCGCCTTTGAACCACTCAACCTTAGCATCTGGGTAGGCATCCCAGTCGCAGGAAAGTTGCGTTTCCCCATTTTGGACCACCGGTCGCGGATTTTCGCCAACATGGCTAATGATCACAGGAGCGTCTAGAAGACACGAAGTGATATAATACACATATATTCATCACAACACCGATTTTTTGCGTGAAAATGCCATGTCTTTATTATTCCATTTCCTCCGCTCATATGGACGATGTGTTGCACAATTCTCTTCGGACGCAACTCAAATAATTAATTCGTAGACCTTACCATCAATAGGTTTGGTTGAATTAAAACCCGATGGGGAAAGGTGTCTACTCTCCCTGTGTTAGATAATCAAGGTAGAACTAAGCTCGACGAAACATGCTCTTAAATTGCATAGAGAGATGCAGACACTCACAAACAATGACGGGATCGATGATACGTCTGGCCTCTCCAGCGTCGTTAGTGGCGGTGCAAGTGTAACGAGAGGCGCTGGCCTGTGTCACGTTAGCAATGAAAAGTGCGCGTCCCTCGCTTTCTATGTGAAGGTTTTCATTTCGCAGGTCAACCTCACCCTCGTGCTGGAAGCAACAGCGGACGAGTTAATGTTTCTCTGCCTTAATGCGAGGGCAATTCAAGAGGCGCTAAAGAGTAGACGTACCGTGAACCATCTTATCTTGGGTGGTGGAAATCCAGAAGCGTTGCACCAGAGAAGAGCTGATTCTCCACGAATCACCTCTGGAGTCTCATGATCCAAGCCATCCGTGAAGAAGGGTTTGGCTGCAGTACAAATTAGCACTTGAAGTGTGATCTCCATCGGAGCTCTTTATACTCATATATAAATCGCCCCCGTTCTGTCACCAAAGGCTTCTCTCAATGACACTTTTATGAGCAAACATTCAAAATTTATGCTAATTACTGGAAATATGGGAAGCCGTCTAAGCGACAAATGAGGATGTTAATAGAAAAGTTAACTCAACGGTATCACCCTGTCTGACCAAAAGATACGCTTACCCATGAGCCAACATTCTAGTCCATTACCTTGAACCACAGGGAGAAATCTCCTCTTTGCACAGTGAATGGGGAACTTGGTTCTCCTTGCGATTCCCAATCGGAACCTTAACTTAACTCTTCGATTTTCACCAAAACCTTTAAACCGTCTGAACTTTAGCATTCTTATACAAAACGCTGATAACTTTATGGTATTCCTTAGTTAAATTATTTGAGCACGCACCAATGACGGAGACCTGCATGGTGTGCCGATCACGTCCAACGATGTTTGTAGCGATGCAAGTGTAGGAGCCGGCGTCTTCGGGCTTGACGCCGAACACCACAAGTTCGCGACCCTGGTCATGAAGGGCGTAGCGTTTGCTCACAGTCGAGATCTCTACTGACTTGTCCGACTGGCCAGCCCCCATCGGAATGCTGGTGGAGGCGATGGGGGTATCATCCTTCAGCCACTGATAGGTCGGCTCCGGGTGGCCAATAGCTATGCACCTTAGATGCAAATCCTGACCCTGGCGTACCTTCTCCTTCAGTCGTGAAGACGATCCTACCAGGATGCCCGGAGATGCTAAAACATCAAATGTAACATGTGATTTCCCTCAACTATAACTACTTCTATGAATAATGGCAAGTCGTAGACTAACTAGAATATTTGAATTGAAAACGGATTGGATTAAACATTTCACCAAGCCCTACTCTGAAACCACTAGTAATTACTATTTCATTTAGTCAGACTAATAAAATTATAAGAGGATACAAAGTTGAAACAGAACGTCCCTTCATTAAAACACAATCTTCGTAAATCCAGAAATAATTTAGCAAATATTTCAGTTGATTTGATTGGAGGCGCATTAGGGTTACCTCAATGGCATCGTGTGTGTAGAGTTCCCATCTCATTTCCACAGGTGATAGGGTAACTATAGACATTCTTACAGATGAGCGGTTGAAGATGGATAAAATGAAATACTCACAAGTGACTTCAAGGTAGTAAGAGAGATCCCAATTTCCAGGAATATTTTCAGCTTCACATTTATATTGGCCCTGATCCTCCGGCTGCACGTCAAAAATGGTCAAAGTTGACTCGTCAGCAGAAACTGAGAACCGATCTGAACAAGTTAAAAATTCATTACTACCATTCCCGATCCGACAAAATGCTCGTAATCAGCACCAAGGTATCGGGCGGAACAGGTCAAGTCTTGCTCCAATAACCCTCAAACTTGCTCAAGGCTTATAACCGGTTCTTACCTTGAGGCATGATAGAGAAGATGTCGACGCCATCCTTATACCATTTGATTTTGGGAGGAGGATTCGAAGTGAGCTTGCAGGTGAATGTAATGTTTCCTCCCATTGTAATTGTTGTGATATTCTGCGATATTGGTGGTTCTCCGGAAGGCTCTAACGACGGTACAAAACAGTTACTTCTTTCAGGTACTCGAATTAATGTATTTGGTCCTAACCATTACCACTTATACGGCTTCCATTTAGGAGATGTACCATATTTAGATGCAATTATCACAGAGGAGCTCTACTCTTCATTCACAGTACTGCCTATCCAAGCCACTCAAAGTTTGTGGGCTACCATTTACATAAAACAATTCTACAGTGCTTCATTAATAAAGTCTATTTCCGCATTAGTTTGCTTTAATATTCAACATGAGAATCGAATTCGTCTGTGTACAGCACACTCCAAACAAGGATTCAGAATGTAGTTGATTTCCAAGCGCTCCATTTTAGACTTCTCACGAGCCACATTTAAGTGAAATGCGATAAGTGTGCAATTGAATTGGCAGAAAACTTACCAAAAACGGTAATTGTGGCAACTTTGGAATCTTGTCCTGCCTCGTTTTCGGCAATGCAGGTGTAATCTCCTCCGTGATGGCGTTGGGCATTGTAAATCATCAGATTCCCGTCACCAACAATTCTTTATCAAAAGGGTGTACTAATGGTTAGTTTCTGCGGTATTTCAACGCATTCCTACTACCATACATCGATGGCCTCTACTGTCTATGCAAGACAGCAAACATGGCTTGAGAGGAGTGTGGGCGGTTAGTCCATGCGCATTATAAATACCTTTCAGGCAAACAGCTACATAGAATACAGAGTCAAATAACTGGCGCTGGTTTTCACTGACTCCGTGATATCCGCAATTAGGCCATGTAAAATCACATGCTTAAAACATCAGCACTAATGGTGGCACCAGCTTCCCTCTTTGAGCTCCTGATCGCACTAATTTGGGTTACAACTTAGAGTCGCTGTGGGGATCCGGTAATTTGGCTTCAAAAGAATTTTTAAAATACAATGACATCGCTGTTAGCCGACCTCTAGTCTTTCCTTGTCACAACTTATTTGCAGAATAAACACAACATTTGATGTTAGTGAAAAGTTAATACAGCAAGTAACAAATAACATCTACTGAATCATGCTTTTTATCATAATTAAAGCCGGGAAATTGACAAAACTTACGAAACCGGACTTAATATAAAAAATAAAAGCATCATAAGCTTGGAGTGAAGGCTTTTCGGAGTGCCGTAAAATCGCTCTCATACCTATAACCGGGTGTCACAGAGGGGATTATCTTTGACCCCTCAAACCACCAGGAAATGTTTGGTTTCGGTGTTCCCGAGGCTCCACAAGTAAGTGTTATGGTATTGTTCAAGAAGACAACAGCTCTCTCTCCAAAGTCCACTATCTTTGGCTCAGCTGGTTGTGATGAGAAAAGAAAACATTTAGCACTTGTTTAAACATAGTAAGCCACAATATGTAGTTGAACGCACTCAAAAGAATGACTTCGTAGTCCATAGAAGTCGTGCCTCCGCGATTTCGACCGACGCAAGTGTAACTGATAGGAGAATGGCAAATAACCATGATCAGAGCGCATAAGCAGAAATACGGGAGAGGAAGTGAGATGAGTGTTTCCTATAATCTACATTATCTGAGTAGACATTTAATGCTCTTTATTATTATTATTATTTTCTGAAATGAGTTTTCGTTGGTAGTGCTTTAAGACCGAAGGTTGTCATACAAGTGTGGCGGTGCACCTACTTTCCCTGCAGGTCTCCGTTCATGTACATAATTGTGAGTTGTGATGTGCCATCTCGCGGTGGTCTAATAGCCACTCCAAGGTCATCAAGTTTATCAACCTCCAGTGGACGGCCATTCCAGGACCAGGAGATCTCGGGTTCAGGAAAGCCGGCCATTCCGCACACCAAGTCAACGCGCTCTCCCGTGCGCACCAAGAGACGACGTTGGACGTGCGTTGAAGTGTACGTTGGTGGTACTGGGAACAAAGAAGTTGTTTCGTCTTGCACCTCCTACTTAGCCTTAACGAGTAGGTAGCTGCGTTGCAAAAACTTACCTAGGACAGTGACTTGATAAAACCGGGAGTCCGAGCCAACTTCGTTTTCGGCCCTGCATTCGTACGAACCCGATTCCTCTTCCCTCTCACCCCGGATTTCCTAGAAGAGTTCATTACGAACATTTAAAAATAGTATAAAATTTGATCTTAGTCATGACAATCGATTTTAAGCCCTTTCGTCGTGACCTATTGAATGCCAAGTGTAATAGTTAATATGCATTACCGAGCGCCATGTTGTCTTGGAATGGAACGCGTTATCAGGAAGCAATAAGCCGGAAAGTGAGATTCTACTTACGACACTTTGTCCATTGTCAACAATATGGACGCGACCAGGAATCTCAACCAGTGGTTGACCATTCTTGTACCACTGGATGGTTGGCTGAGGATGACCGTAGCTTATCATGCAGGTCAGCAGTGTCATCTCGTTCTGTGCGATTTCCACCTCACCTATACCCTCCTTCGAGATGCTGGGAGGCGCTAAATTCAAGATGCAACACTTTACGCTTTGCATCTAACCATAGTGATAGATTGAGCATTAAGTCGAAAGTGGGTAACTTGAAGGTGAACAAAAATTTATTTTGACCCTGGAATTGAGATACGATGACAAAGTAAATTTGTTAAATGAATATACTCTGGAAATTTTCCAACGAGCATAATTGTTTTAGAGCTTCAGAAAAAGGACCAAAATAAACATGACTAGAACGACCTGGTAGGTTTTAAGGAATCAGATTTGCGAATTGGAAGGTCAAAAGATGTTACTATTCGGGAATTCCAATGATGTAGTTTGAATGTGTCAGGAAACTGAATATCATCGCCTACTTCTAACGGTGACTTGAAATTCCTTTGAGACAGCGCCATGGGTGTTGATGGCAGAGCAGGTGAAAATACCACTAGTGGCATCGGTCACAGAATAAACGGTGAGGACGTAGCCATCGGGAGAAAGGACGTAACCACCAGCGCCACTAGAAGAGTCGCGCTTGGGTGTCACAAGGCGTCCATCCTTGCGCCACTCCACCTCTGGTTTCGGATCGCCTTCTACCTCACAGTGTAGCTCCATTACCTTACCCTGTGTGATCTCCACCGTCGTGAGGCGCGAGTCATCGCTGAAGCGAGGCTTTGCTAATCAAGAAAGATCATTAAGGATACAGAAATTTAATACATTTGTTTTAAGTTCTTTGAGAAGCTATAAATAACAAGTTTAGGCAATTCCTTGGTTGTAAACTTTCGAACAAATCATAACGTCACAGGAGTGTTCCATTTCGCCAAAAAAAATGACGAATCGACACAAATTGCCTAGCATTAAGTTAAAATCAGGATTCAATACCGTTAGTTATGAATTGCTTACTACTCATTTCAATAAAATAACAGCTAAAAAGCTATTCTCTTCGGATGCTTCAGTCGGCTTATGAGGTGAGTTGGATAGAATCAATTTCTGTAGTGGGAAATGTAAAGGGAATTGGATAAAACCTTTGATGTTGACTTCAACTAATTGCATATGACAGGATATACGTGGCCTCGCCAGTTAGCGCCACATCTTCCACAGGCATTCCATGGGAACTTACTTTGTACGTCCAACTCAATGTCGATTTTCGATCTACCAACGACGTTGTGGGCTACACAAGTGTAAACTCCTTCGTCCTCCATCTACAACAACAATGTGCGCAGACCTGATTACACATCTTGGTTAAGTTCTCAACTAAAAAACTGAATTGTCTAGCAGCGTATTCAATTAACGTTTAGAGTAATAATACGGCCGTTCGCTGAAGGCGTACTTCGATTCCCCTAATGACGAGACTAGTATCGAGAAGGGTGTAACGCGGGTCGGCAAGATTAATCTCAACACTGTTTTTGAGCCATGTAACCTGAGCCGCTGGCTTCGCATCAAGAACGGGACAGTTGAGGATCATCTCTGGACTGCCTTCCAGGACAACCTGTCGAGGTTCTGTGTATGAGATAGTTGGTGCACCTGGAATGCAAATATGGTTGGTTGAATACTGCTAAACAGCAAATTTTTGGAACTATGTCAAACCCAAGAACCTACGCCTCACCACTGCAGTTAAAATACAGCCTTAAAATGCACGGACGTATTTTCTTTAAAATAAAATTGCCCTACGAAGTGGCTTTCGTGAGCATACGTACTAAAATTCCGTTCCTGGATGCGATTTATTTCCTTCTATTCTGCACATCAACAGAATCTCCAGTTACTTAAGTAAGGTATCCACACATTCAAATAGACCAAAATGGCTTGGTACCAAATGTTACCCCAACATAATTCTGGTTTTTTCATCCTACTATTTAATATTTCAGTAGATAACTTCAAAAGAGTTCCATGTGCTATGATGTTGGAATATGCGTAAAACGAATTTTTACAATAGTTGGTCTCCCAGCAAATACTTTATCCTTCTTTTGTTCCACTTAAATCAGCAACTTACGAATGCCACCAAGTTCGACTGATACATGATACTGGTCGCGGCCGTAGGTGTTGGATGCCTCGCACACAAATGTAGTACCATCCTCCAGGTTAAGATCTGCGTAAAAGAGGACCAATGTTTTCACAGTCTTACAAAAGCTAAGGTCTATATCTTTTTTATAAATGTCTCTGAAAGTTTTTCACTGCTTGTTGGTGGTCAGTGAAATTTGGTTTCATTGTGGTGTAAACTTAATGTTCGTCCAAAGTCTGATTTCATCTCAGCTTCCTTTGAAATTGTATTAGAGTTGTGATATTCATGCATGGGTTCCATTGCATTTTATGTTGCCAAACCGGCGTTTCACGACCAGATGAATAAACCCAGAGGATGGTGACCAACAACCCTAAGTCAAAGACTATGGAATCAGGAGTTATCGGCAGACTCAATTTCTTGCACAGAAGGATCAAGCTAACCAGTAATGTGCAGCGAGTTGTCTGCAGCAAGGGTGTATCGTCCACCATAGGTTACAGGAACCTGATTTTCTCCAACCATCTTGAACCACTTGATTTGCGGTGGAGGATTTCCGTCCACAATGCAGGGGATCACCAGATCAGAAGCAAAGTCTCCGAAAACGCGTTCCTGCATGGCACCGGTGTCCATCTTTGGTTTGTCTAAATTTAAAAGGGTATGATTTTGCTGTGTCAGTGGTCACTCGACCAGGTATAAGCGACATTCTAGAGCGCCAATTTCAGCCTTAAATAGGGTAAGCGAAATGATTTCATGAAATTAAAAGCATTCTTTAAGACGTGTGCATTGCAAACGTACGGCCAATTTCCATCGAAACAGAAGTTCGAGTGCTTCCAGCGACATTTTCAGCCACACAAGTCCACTTGCCACTCATATGGCGCTTTAAATGCAATATTTCCAGCTCTCCAGTCGTTTGATTTAAGCGAATGTTTGCACTTTCCCCGACCTAATCGAATAATGGAAGTGACTGCTTAAATTTGTGGCTTTCCATTTTGTTTGGCTAGGTTAATTTGATCTATTTATTAGAAAGACTCGTTATCAAGAGAGACGCATTTTTTAAAACTAATAAAAGTAAGCCTTTTTGCTCACTGGACTTCCGTTGAATTCCCATTTGATGAGAGGTGGGGGCTGTCCACTGGCCAGGCATCGCAAGGTCTGCCTTTCACCCTCTTGTGGCATTTCCCGAACCATGTCGATACGAGCAATTTCTGGTCGAGCAATGAATGAGGCAATGATATCTGCTTGGGCCTCACCAGCCGAGTTCACTGCAAAACAGGAGTAGCGTCCTGCATCTGATGCATCTGCCGGTGATATAATCAGCCGCGATTCCTGCAAAAAAAGTCGATGCCACCTAACTCTTCGATTTCGTCAAATCTTTGTATATCAATTTAAACTTATTTTTGTATAAGATACACTCTCAGCTCTAGGTTAAGCACTTTTGCAATTGCCTTAGTAAACACTTGGTCATCGGATTAAAGGTGATTCTTTTCCACGGAGCTAGAAATACGTCGCTCACTTTGAGGTCATGACCCACAAAGAAAAACTGCACTTGTAAAAATAGGCTTACCATATACTCATCCAATATTGTTATGCGTGATGATCCAATTTGCATATTCTCGCCTCTTGGAATGGGCACGTCGTTGAAGCTCCAAGAGATCTCAGGGGGTGGATGACCCTCAGCACGACAGGACAGAACCAATCGACCTCCGTCCTTAAAGTCTACTTGGCTGCTCTCTGCTATAACGCTGGGTCGAACTAGGAAAGAATGCATATCAGTGCATCATTAATACATCTGGCACAACTACTTACTTGCGACAAAATGCATAAACAAATTTATGTGCAAATTAAGGCGATTCTAACAAGTAGATATGCAACATAAAGTTGTCAATCATCTACCGTGAATGACGACGAAACCAACGGCCGAACTGACACCGCCTTTATGCTCCGCCTCGCAGATGTATTGGCCGATATCACTGTCTTGGACGTTTCTACAGCAAAATGGGGCGTACATCGTCAATCTCTGCCACTTCTGCTCCATTATTAACTAACCACAGCTTTGCCTCATACCTGCCTTATAACGTGAGTTGGATTGTGGCTTATTTTCGCCTTCAATAAAAGCATAAGGGAAAAGTTAAACCCACATAAACTGCGTGAATTCAAGTCTTTTTGATGTTCCATGATGAAGGTGTGCAGAAGGTTACGTTTTTTTGTCTCCAAGACGCGGAAAATTCGACTCGGATCTCTATACCCTACTTTTGTTTCAAATTTGTTACGATTTTTCCCATCAGCACTGCGTTTGTAGGATATGCGCAAGGGTAGAATTGATACTTACGTGTCAATCCCTTAATGTAGCTTTTTTGGCATAAGTAATGTGAATCAGAAATTGGGTGCTTATGTCGGTGAATCGGTTTATGGATCATATTTAAAGTGGCTCACGAGATTTGCAGGGTGCTGGTGAACGTCTGGCCGGCTGGTGATGTCTCACCACCGCCAGACATACGAATTGAATGTCTGCGACCGTCCTTCACCTTGAAGCGCACACTGTCGCCACGATACCAGTTGATGTCCACCTTGTCCGCTTGCGAGAAGACTGTACACATCAGACGAGCCAATCCATTGGGCTCGACGCTTGCATTCCTTGGAATTAGCACGGTGGGTGGAGGGGCTAAGGCAAAACATTTTTACTTGTCTCTCAATTTCCTTATTTCTTTCAGGGGTGCATATTTTTTGCCTCCCATTTGCTAGCCACTGAGACCACTTGGTGAAATTTCTCAAAAGTGACAGTGGGAAGATTTCGACTTCAGTACCTTAAATTGCGACTTTACGAACTGTTTATCGTTATAGCATAAACAACTTTTGTCGCACAACTCAAATGTGCACCGTAAATTTGCAGACCATCACGATGTCTCTCTTGATGGTTATGGGCGGTAATTACCCAATATAATCCACCTAGTTGTGACATATAATTGCGTACTCTCTCCTAAACCACAATCTTAGTGCCCTTCATCTTGATGGCGGGGGGTGAAGAGAAACTCACGAAGTATTACAACAGCGACCTCGTCTCTTCTCTGTCCCTCTGGTTCCGTTTCTGCTCCAGTTCCTGCGGGAACCATCTCAACCGCGTAGATGCCCTGTGATTCCTCGTTCACGTCGTGAAGTGTGTAGGTCACATTAGTCGGCACACTAAAGGTGCGAGATGAGCATTAGCCTCCACCTCAACCTAAACACCAAGCTTGTGATTACTGGATAATTTTGTGAACAATATTCATTTCATTCTCTGTAAATAGGCTACAGGGTGGGACATTACGGTTTGCGTAAGATGCTTTGGATTGTGGTGCAAAACATTTCCCTTCTTAGGCTAAATCCAATCTCAGATTATTCAATCAATCTAAATTTCATCTTATGGCTACGCGATGTAAGCCTATAGGTATGGTAAAAAAAATTAGGAAGTAAAAACTAATGAGACCTAAAAATTTGATGCTCGCCAGGGAAGCCAGTGAGAGGGCGATTGTTTTGGTACCACTCGACACTGAAGGGGACCTCGCTGTCAACGAGGCAGGTGAGGTGGGCAGTGGTGCCTCGAGCTACCTCCAACTTCGCAGGACATGTAACCACCGAGGGACGGGCGGCTCGTGCAAGCAAAGCCACCTTCGAGTAGCGTTGGAAGGTGTAGCCTTGACTATCGCGACCTGTCACCTGTTAGGTGGAACCCGCAAACAAGCCCTCTAAATAAATCGCTGATTGTAAAGCCTTGAAGAGATCTCAGTAATGGAGATCAAAAGTCAATTGTTATAGCCTTCTCAATTTAGGTTTTCCAATGGGAATTTATAAACATTGAGACAAAGTTCTGAAACTATAAAAGGATACGTATGTGTGGTCTTTTGATATTCTAAATCGATGTTTCAGCAAATTTAGGAAAACCATTTACAGTCATTGGCTGTTCATAAGTTTGGGAATCTCAAGTTCCTTTTTATTCGTGCTGCAATCAACACGGCTGCTAGCTACAGACATCTCTGTTGAAATTGTTTATTAAGTCCTTTGAGGATGCACAGTCGGGCGGATTCATGCGATTGCTCTTGTCTAACTCGTTTTCGTTACAAAGGTGGCTTTAATCGTATGTTTTTAGGTTTCGTGTATCCAGTATCTTTCATAGTGCTGCAACTCTTAAGCAGATGCAACACTTCCATTCTTGCACCGTTCAGATAATTTATTTCATGTCTCGAGCTACGGACAAGAAAGATTGTTGCGATACGATGATAGACCAACCGTTAAACGTAGTTGTCGAAAGTTGATGCACTACATTGCATCAGCTAAATAAAAATAACAGCGGCGTAACAGTTCTGCAGGGAGTGAGTAGTGTGGAGCGGAATGGAGAAGGGTGGAGACGCACTTGAAGGTAGTAGTGACCAGGTATGGGGTCCATGGCGTGCTGGCTCACATAAACTTGACTGCCCGGTGTTCGCTCCACAGGCAAGCGCACTAGAGCCGTGCCATTCGGTGCGCGCAGGGTGATCGCATCCACACTTCCGGTCATCAGACGTCCCGTTATGTTGGTCATTACGTAATTCTTTATGCCTAGGCGGTGGCAAGTGTGGACAAGATAACAATACTTGCAGTGCATAGCTCCACCTAGTGAAACCCGCCTTGTATGCATCCTATTAACACCCATTTATGAGAATTCAATGTGACCTAATTTTGCTGTGAGATCTGCTGTGTTGTTTATTTGATCCGTTTTCTAAAATAATGACACTATCATGCTTATTAAGACAGTAATATACCAATGCGGCAGCCTCATCATCCTACCATCTGATGGCAAAAAGAGAAGAAGAGAAAAAGAACTAACCAGCTATGGGCTGGCGTGAGGCTCCGCGGTTGTGTGGTAATTGATTGGCAGCAAAACCGGGCACGAAGTCAACCTCGCTGATTCCAGACACGCGAACGGAATGCCACTGACCGCCAAGGCTCTCATCACCCGAAATGCTTGGCTGGCCACTCACCTCCGCGCTCACTTCCAGTGTCCATGTGCCCGGAGTGGGATGGTCAATGGAGGCCACGAACACATTGGGCACCGTCTTCATCAACTGCCGCAGCCCATCCTCTTTCGTTATCAGCTTACCTTCAAATACCAAAAAATAATTACACTGACCTACCTACTTGAATTGTCTTACCACTATTTACGCCTTTCTGCAAATTCTAGGCCAAAATTTAGAATGAAAGTCTGCTCACTTTCATTCAAAGGACTGTGTGTTGAGCGGTTATTAAATGAAGGAGGGAATGCTAGCAGCTACAATACTGACGTGTTAATCTAAGTTAATCCGAATTTAGTTTCATTCACTTGTTTTGAACAGCCAGTACTGCCCTACTTTTCTGTAGATCTTTAGAACCTACTAACCCACTCGAACGGAGCTTTCAAAAATTTGTAGCACCCCTCGTCCACAGATAAGAAGATTTACAGTTTTGTTGCCATTAACTACGATAACCAAAATTTCCATGTTGGCATCTATGTAAGTGCAGTCCGAGAGAGCTCCCACCATTCGTGCCTACTGTTCACTGCCAAGTGTTTCCCCTTCAAGTTAGAGAGAGGAACTTAATGACGAAGTGGCAGGCATAAAAGCCTATTTCGATACCTCCATGACATTTGGTATGTAATTAGAAGTCTCCTTTAAGGAAGAAGGTCATGTTTCATTGCCTATGTGTCTTCCAATTACTCCCATCCTGTCTTACCAGACTAAAAATAATTATTTTAAATGTGATTGGGTTCGCTCCTTCACCTGTCGTAAAATTCACTGACCTTCGGGATCTCGAATCCCCACTTTGATTGAGTCGTTGGTTTTGTAGTTGGTCACCTGAATGGTGAGTTGAGAGAGATGAGTGTCGACAGGGAAACTGTAGGTCTTGGCTGTCGTCTCCCAAGTGTCTTGCTGGAGAACTTGAACCTTCTGCGACTCCACAGCTGCCTCAATGACCCGCATGAACTTAAAACAAGATCACAAACAACAAGTGTTTCAGGGGTTGCATTGTTGCGTTGGAAGATTTAAACCACTTAAAACCGTTGACAAAAATTACTTAAAATATTTAGGATGGTTGGAGAGCAAATGACCTCGCCAAAATTTGCGCAGCTACCCCTTTGTTTAACGCCAAAGAAGACAATTTTTTGCACTATCTTCAGCCTCATTCTTAGCTGTCCTGGGTAGACAAAAAGTACACTATCTTTTATTACACTTCTGACCTTTGACACATACCTCGAGGGAATGTGACAAGGATGGGAAGTAGGTATTACCTCGTTGACCTGGCGCTTTCCGATTATGTAAACTTGACCAGAACTAACGGTCGCAATTTCTTGGTAGGCTTGGAAGCCAGGCTCGTCAGTGGAGTTGCAAAATCCCGTCAAAACAAAGACAACCTAGACAGAAAAAACACAAGATTAGGATAAATGCCCAGCAAACGCTAAAGGTTGGTATTTTGTCTGCAAAACTTACATGCGTTATTCTACATAAATTTCCCAATTTAGGTAATCCTCGTTGGAATGTCAGACTTTAAACGTGCTACACTTACAAATTAACAAGCATGATGATAATTTCAGGTTCCACAAGACTTGTAAAAGTCAGAACTAGTTTGACACGCAGCGTGATAAACCATCAAAGGGACGCTTATTGGTTCCGCATTTAATGGAGTTCAAGTCACTTCGGGACCTTGACCGGGGCGAAATCGGGACATGTGGCATAAAATGAAGTGACAGACCTGTTGGTCAGATGGTAGTTGATTGTATAACACAGGTGACAGGTCAAACGTTCACAATTTCATCCTGTCGCCTCACGGGCTGCCTGTTTTACGTGCGCGTGAATCAGCATCTGCCGGACGAACGTTGCCTTTTTCCTCGCCTCCTACCACGGTATGAGAGGCCCTTACCGCCTCATTCAAGTGATTTATTTGATCTAATTTCCAAAGATCACTAAAACGATCATGACTGTTCCACTTTTCTAATATATCGAGGAATCTGAATCGAATAAAGTAAATGCTCGTCTTTTGAGGTGGTTTAAGCCTTGCGCATAGGTGACGCCTTCCGATTAGGCGAGGCGACACCAGTAACACCACTCTCGGAACTAATAACTTCCAGGGTTAATAAAATCGCTGTAAAATTCAAAGTTGACTATTATTGCCTCCATGAAGTTAGTTGCATGAAATTAGGTTTGAAGTAAAGCGAGGAAAGGCAAAAGACTATTTACGCGTTGGGGGGTAGACTCTGCCACTCACTCATAATGGCAGGCCTTTACTCACCTACTTTTGCTTGGTTAAACTTATTTTCTTTTAAACGCTCAAATTGTGATTTTCGTGAGGATTCTTTTGCTCCCTATCCCCCTCTACTAGGCTAGTAGGCAGTGGTGATACCCATTTTTGCGTTCTTAGGATATAATGGGAAAGTTGGAGTCACTAGCATGCCTTGGCTCTCAATTTGCTCCGCAGGGCAGTCAGCGATGGAAGGCAACCCTCTGTGACTCCCTTAGCTTGCTTTTTATTTGCTCATGTGTAAAACTGCAACTAAGGCCAAGTTCATTTGAGCAAAACGCGAAAGGTCTGTACCAGTGGAGGTGTTAGGTAAGACAGCAGGACTGAATGGAAGAACATTCCAACAACACAGCATTTACCATCGCGTGATCATCGACGTAGAACATGTAAAAAGCATCGTTTCTGTCATCTTTTATTCCCTAGTTCCCCGTATTCGCTGCCCTTTCACCGGCACATCACATGGTGCCGAGTTGCTTTATCCCGCCCTCCTGCCAAATTGGCTGGCCCACGAATTACTTCAACTGCTAGGTGCAAAACTGTTCCAGCTCCAAAATTTTAGCAGCTGCAAAATGCCTTTAAAGTGATCGGGTTTGAGGTCATCTTTTAAAAGCTGGCCTTCCAAGTGACAAATTTGCTGTTATAAGTGGATTTCAATTGCTGCGTTTTGCATCCAAATGTTATGACACACTTCTGCATATCTATTAATGCTTCAAGATGAAGGAGACTACCAGAAGCATTATCTAAAAGCTCTGCAAGGTTGCTTGCCTGACTCTGTTTTTTCTGAATGAGGTTCAAAACTCGCGGGAGGCGATCGTAGTCCTTGGCACTGCTATCGGTAAAGACGTAGATGAGGGAGTTTGGCTGGGCTGCCTCGAGTGCCATCTCAATACCTGTGACGGTCATTTCCGGACAGTCGCCACCACCCTGTGTGTAGACGCTTTCCAGATACTGGTAGAACGTCTTAGTTGATGTTGTCACTCGCGCCGGTCCAACATCTAGGTTCAACGACAAATGTTATTTAAAAGAGTCTCCTTTCATCAGTCCTCCCACGTTTTTCGATTCGCAAAACTCGCTGCCAAACTCGGTGCGGATCCGATACATTCATCAAACTCATCGCACCCATAAATCCAACTACGGAATGAGAGCCTGAGGTTATACTTAACCATGGCTGCTAAGTGATCGTGACACAAGTCAAGGACTGTCATCAAACTGGATGAATCGAGATCTTTGTAGTAATGAGTAACCGGACCGTTATTTAGTCACTGTATGCGAGTAAGAAAGGTCTCCATTATTTCAGCTATAGGTGGGGAAGTAAGGAAAATATAAACATTGTTTAATGGAGCAGACAAGGTGCCTTGCCTAAAAGAACCATTTGTAGCTTTTCATGCAGTGTCTAGGATACAAACACCGAAAAACCTCAGCCTATACACCATCCGTTGTTTGTGGAATAGAAAAAGTACTCCCACATCTTGGGTGCAACAAGTGTCCACAATTTAATTCGCCCGAACTTTTCTCTTCCCCTTAAATGTTAATGCCCCGTCATGCGACATGAAATAAACATAAAGAAGGGAACAAATTTTAGCACACCAATGTCCTAGAGATTACTTGCTCAAAGTAGCGAAAAATCAAACAATTGTTGCATCCTTTCTCATTTGACACCACTTACAGCTGCATGATCGACACCACGTCATAAATCTGTCTCATACAAAAAACGCCAAAATTTGCTCTTATGAGTTCATCTCATGCAAGCAGCAAATCAACTTGAAATGATGCGAAACTACCAGATGATAGTCTGATTTGTGAAGCCTAACTGCATAATGCAGCCTTTTCTCGTAGTAGGTAAGGCACCGTTTAATCAACGGCCCATTATAATTTAGCATCTGTACCCTACCTCTGCAACGTATAACTGCCATATGCCCAAAAAAGTCGCCTTCAGATACAAACTCACCAGGATCATGCACTTTAACTAAGACGAAGTCCTTAATTAAGGTCTCTCTTCCTTTTTCAAGATGCCTTTGAAGGATCCTTCGGGAGCCCAACTTGACTTGTTTTAAGTCATCACCCATAGATCCTGTTGAATCGAATACAATAGCCAAAGAAATGGATGAGGGCATGCTACTGGTGCTCGAATCTCCCTCATACACCTGCAGAGGTGGTGGTTGAGCATCCAGGTAGCCAGGAATGTAGCCGAGGGATTGGGGCTGGGGGCCTCCGTAGTAGGATTGAGATTCCCATGCCCCTGAGAAATGGGCAATCAGAAAGAGTAACAGGAGCACCAGCCTCATTACTGCCGATGCCGGAAGACAAGTGGCCGGGGTCGTGGGTGCAAGCACCTTGGTGGTTACGCATGTGCACCAGAAGCGACCAATGGAGACCAGGATGTGTGTATGTGTGTCAGCGATGAACCAATCACAGTGGGGGTGGTTGACGTGTTTGCAGGACCACAGTCTCCATGCTATAGGCCACCGGGAGGAGGGGAGCATGCAGGTGCGTTTGCGTGACTAATGCCCCCTCAGACCAGCCTTCAATCCGGCCCAACAACACCTGCGCTTGGTTAATAACGTTTTCCAATTTCCATTACCATGTCCTGTAGAAATATACTTTGGCTGGTTCTCTTATTTTTCGTCTCCGTTTTGTCAATGATAGCATGGAGACAGGTGTTTGAGACTGAGAAACCATAATATAGCCATTAACACCTGTCCGAAGATCTTTTGTGACAAGCCCACTTATCCCGCCCAGTCCGAGTTGTCATCATTAGCACAGAGTTTATTACTCTCCCACCAAATGAAGCACTGCTCTTCTGATTTTAATGCGTACGGTTTTTTTTATTACGAGATGCCAGATGGATCATTCGAAACATCCTCTTTGAGAAAAGATGGGAACATTTTGTAGCATGGACATTATGCCATTTGTGTCACAACTGGCCTTAGCCCAGAGCTCAAATAAATCATTTTGGTTAGCAAGAAGTTAGGTACACTACCATCTTGTGCAGCCTTTTTAATTGCTCGGGTGAATGATTTTGTGCTCTGGAGATCTGCTTATGATGCCAACTCCTATGGCACCTCCTTGAAAGGAGAGAGTTGACAAACTCGAAATCTGATCGAACTTGAAATAGCAGATCTATCACTGCTTTTTCAATGTCCACCACTCTTTACGTTCTTAAGCCCTTGATGGCAAACAATTTGCAGGAGCAAAGTTACTTCGCCATTAAATCTCACTTGGCACCGTGGAATCGGCGTGCAATAAGTTTTGACACCTGCTATATTTCCAACCGTTTTTCCATAGGTGCAAATACATTTTTTATTATCTTCAGTGATGGCTTTTCTCTGCGAAATCGTTGAGAAGAAGGCAGCTTATACGCTTGCCTATTTCCGTGTTTCCCTTGTTACATGTCGATCTGTGGGGACCATGCTCTAGGAAAAAAAATAAAATAAACAAGCTGTCTTAACAACCACTGCCTCTAACAATTTAGATGTTTGTTTGAGTCTTCGGTTTGGTTCCACGGACACGTAAGACTTCGCCTTCGTATCTCTGCTGGACAGCAAACTTTCGAGCCAAGCCAGTACTTGCTAGACTTTTATCTACATAGACGCTAGTAGCATGTCTTCTCCCTTCTTCCGGCGAGTCTCAAGGCTTTGCATTCCACATGTTTTGAGCCCAAATTGCGGGCACAGATTTTCTGCATTTGGTTTAGTTGGCAAAGATTACTGTGCAATGGGTGCCAAGCAGCTCTGCCGGCATTGTACATTCACACATGGTTAAAAAGTTGAGTTTCTCCTCTCTTTTCTTTACCACAAAAAGAGGGAAAGCAATAACATATTTTTTTGTCATACAGCATCAGGGAAAATGGGTTAACGAAACCACTTGCAATTCAGGAAACCCTTTTTTATTGCATTAGTGTTGCAGCCAAACGACATTTATGTATTGTAGCAGGACGCTTTGTAGACATTTGCAGAAGAAGCAAATGATTTTCCTGGCTAAACATGCTGTATGTTTTTGTTTACGTCGGTCACACAAAAATTTCACTCCATTTCGCCCTTTAAATGCCACACCCCGCCATGATCATGAAAGCAGTCCGTCTTAAGGGCCGCACTGGGACGATTTGTAGGAGTTCAAAAGCTTGCGCGTTTGAAAAGTGAAATGGCTCGACCGCTCCACCCAATGGGCGTGTTGCATGTGAAAACCACCTTGTCCACAATAATATAAATGATTAAAGGTGATTTTTATTGCACCTAATTGCGCCTATTCACTACACATCTATGCGAAAGGGGCTAAGGATACATACAGGCTAATTGTATGGTTTAAACGGTATCTCATGCCTATCGTTTTAAGAGGATAGCGAATATTAAAACCCATCAGTAGCAAAATATGACCTTCACTTTAGATCAGGAGTAAATTACAGTTAGTGGTGAGTAAAAAAGCATAGAAACGGCAGTCCAGAAGCTTGCCATATATGATAAATGGATGCCTTCGAGAAATACATCGCAAAGTAGCATCGAATTTTGCCAATTTTGCTTTATAGCATGCGGCTAACAAAAGAGGCCAGTGATTAACTCAAAGCGCCTCCCCTAAGCAATAGTGGTTCATCCAAAAAATTCAAAATTTCCACTTAATTTGAAAAGAGTGGAACTTTAACTGCTTTAAGCGAAAGTTCTCTGGGCACATATTTACTTGGACAGCATGCTTGAATCCAATCGCCTAGTTTTGGGATTGAGACTCCCCAATTCAGCACGTATGAAACGGCGGAGGTGATCAAAAGCCGGCTGGCCATTGATCGTGTGTGCCACTTGTGCGCAGGCGCACGCACCGACGTGAAACTTCATACCGCAGAATGCGAATGATGCGCGTGTGCCGACAGTGATAAAAAGCTATTTATAGAATATGGGGACGTCATAAAACACTGTGCCAAAGCTCGGCCGCTGTGCACAGTTCGCAGCGCAGGCGCCCAATTTGAAATACCCCAGTTTTCTTTTCAGCCCATAAAAGAATTCGTACTCCTCTGCATTATTAAGTATGAGAATTCACTGATTTACTGTCGGCGATACTTGCAGCACATAACTTATACCCATATTTACTTAAGGTGAATGTAGGAAGGCGATGCTTGAGGGGTGATGAGCCATATTATGCGATCTACTGGGAACCGAGAGTTGCTCAAACTTTATCTATCGCTTTTGACAGAAACACTGGCCTTCTACATAAGCAGAAGTTTTACTTAAGGAACTATTTTGATGGCGATTATGGAAGCTGAACTCCTTATTGGTTCGCCTCTGGTCATACAAGCCGGGGAGTACCTCCTACCATCACACATTTCGTTGTAATGGCAACAGTGCCATAATGTTTTCATTTTTACAAAAAAAGGTCCATCCGCATTAAGGTCAAGGTCTGTAGACTAAACATATTTACTGATTCTATAGCTGCCATTGCAAGTCTCCTTGTGTAATCTTAGGAAATGGCGTTTATTGTTGTTTTTTTTTAACTTACGTAACTCCATTTGCTCCCTGTCCTCGAGAATCACCTCTTGTCTTAATAAAACCCATCTGTTATCTTAGCGACATGAAAATTATGGGGCATGGTGATAGTAGACCATCTTGAAGCCTGATAGGCCCTTCAACGCATACAGAAAATAACTTGCATGCTTACAACTGAAGTACGGAAAAGTTTCGAATCATGACCTTTACCTCTGCAGCATTTAACTGACATTCATACCCGCTGGCATTCCCTACGGTTAGCCCAAGTAGCTGTGGGATCCCTTTTCATAAGTGATTCCGACGCCTGGCATTTCCCATCACCGTATATTCATAATTATCCCACAGACCTGAAGGCAGTCGTTCCAATTCCAACGCCCCTCCTGGTGAATAAACACATTTTCCGTAAATTTTTTGCAGACACTTCTCAAACGTCAAAACTGTGAAGAATGTGTACTACTGGTGAATTAAATCTGTGTCCTGATGGGTCATTGCCCTCGCTGTTTCACAAACTTTCTCGTCATTTGTATATTTTTTCTCCAATTATAATGTCTCAAACAAGTCATGGGGAGGAAACAAAGCCACGCCATTATTTAGAGTCATTACCGTCTGTGGAGGCACTGTTGGTCACCAATACTGCTTGACGTCAGTGACTCATTTGCCTGTGGGTCCAGTTCCACACCCATTTACACGAATTCCGCGTGGCAGAGCCAAGTATGCGTCATTTGCCAATCCACAGCGCATACAACGGTCTTCTGCACCACTTCCCTTAAACGATAGGCCATACGATCTCCTGCGATCGCAATGGATGCCCCCAGACAACGCGATCGTTGAGATACTGGGAAGGACTCACCAGACCCATCGGCTGATTAGTGCGCCTGCATTGTAGCTGCACCATTCCATGTGACACAGGGCTATTCATCTAAATGCCAGCCATTAACACTGTTATCCTCGAAATAAGCGCGAGCCCCGTAATCAGTGTACACAAAAAGGCCATTCATCACATAATCTCTCGAAACTTCCACCATATCGACTGTTTTTAGACCGCTTCTTTGTTTACCTGACCGATGGGAGGATATTCGAAAGCCAACAACCATGAGGGACTTCATCTGATATTTCGCCGTCTTTGGTAGATAGACAGTTATGATCTGAGCCTTATCAGGTCCTATTAATCATGCACATTAAAGTAAAGCATAGGGCATTTGAAGCTCACCGAAGTCACAGTTATTTGCCTGCAGCTACGTTTGCTTGTTCCGCTGAACGAAATTCGTTGCATGACCAGGAGAGCAAAGACATGAGACGAGTCACTTTTAAATCTGTTTCCCTGTTTTCGCAATCGCATATAAAGTACTCCTTAACACACTGTAACGCGTTTCAACAATATAAAATTTGAAAAGCACAAAGTCTCACTCGTCACCCATCCTATGAATTTAAACAATTTTGCAGACAATTTGAAGCTCTTGTTTTGGTAAGCATTGTTCCGTTTCACGCATGTATGGCTGCGCTGACCGATGATGGTTGTAGCCAGGGTGTGCACGCTGCTGGACGCCAAGCCTGACCAAACCAGGCCGCCAAACCTAAACCTCTCCATAGAGTATGGCAGCCTAGTCAAGAGCACAAATCCTTTGAGATTCTTAACACGCAAATATTCGACTTCCCCAGCGGTATGAAACAAATGGTGAGCTTAAACACACCCCGCCAACCAAATTACCGTTAGATAAGACACTATTTGTGGAGGAGTAACGCACTTGCCTGAAAACATTCATTCTATTTTCTACAGCAGTATCAGCTTTTGGTTCCTGCTAGATCATTGTGACAAGACTCACTGTACTGACTGAGGAAGTTAGGACGTGATATTTTCGCTGTGACGTGACTACCAAATCCAACCTTTCTGAACTTCCTCTGAAACTATGAAACGACCAAAAAACAAAGTTTTGCTTGCAGAAAAAGTGCGTTTATGTTTCGTGCTAATGTAGTGCATTAGTACTCGACGCATCCGTGAATAAAAAATTGACAGATAAGACTTATGAAACCTAGAATTTTTAAAACTTTATTAGCAGCTCGACACTGAAACTTAAACGAAAAAAATGGGAAAGAAAAAAAACAACCCAGATGTTAAAGATTGGATTTGACGTTAAGACGACTTCCTTATAGTGAGATAGAAATTCCTAAGTCAAGGAACAATGATAAACTTCTGGAAAAGTACAACTTTATTGTTGGGTAAAATTTGTGCTGAAAATTTAAGCAAAAAGTAATCAAATATTCCCGTAGCTTAGCGGAATGATGGTAACTGAATACGACCTTTGACGGCTCCTTCCACGAGAAAGTGCTAAAAATAAACACGCTTTGATGAAACGAATAACCTAAAAAGGGTGCACATTAAGTCAGGTATTTGACCAGAAGGCATATGCATTTGGGTAAAAATTATAAGCATTCAACGAAAGTATACATTAAACAAAATCCACACGAGGACCTTTCAACGAATACTGATTCACCAAAGACTTCGAATAGTAGCAGTGATAAGTGGAGATAAAAAACCGTTCAACTCATGCTACTTAATTTCATTTAGTAGGAACGTCTCAGTATGGATGAAGATAATGACACCAAACCTTACACACCTTTAGTGGAACACAGGCATCAACAAGATCGAGACCCAGACCTCTGAGACTAAGCACAGCATCAGAGACGCCGTAATAAGCGCTGAGGCGACGAATAAGAGCGCGTCTTGACGTAGGAGGCCCATCCATCTGCAGAGGTCCACCAAACACCTCGTCAGGTGCATATAGGGCCTGAATGCCCTCAACAAAGACACCCAAAGGAAAGACTGAACGCTGACGCTCAGAGGTGAAGCGAGAAAGATTTCGAAGATGTGCTGCAGTGCAAGAAGTAAATGTTTATTTCTTCCACTTATTAACTCCAAAACTACACCTGCGATTCTGTGAGGTTATGCAACATAGGTACAGATGCAGACCATGCACAAAAGCAAACTAATGAATCCTGTTTAATTCCATCAGCTTACCCACGTCTTCGCCATGGAAAAGAGAGCGGTTAATTGTTTCGGCAAGACAAGCGGCATCTCCAAAACCCATGTTTACGCCCTGACCAGAAAGCGGCAAAATACGATGGGCTGCATCTCTAAAATCGAAAGACTGAGGTCAAAAGTTAATTGTTTTAGGTGAAAAGAAAAGGAAAAGACGAAAGGCCAAGGAAACAGTTTAGAGCATCATTAAATGACTCACCCAATTAGAGCCACGCGGGGTCCATGATAAAAAGTGCAGTGACTGAAATTAAGGGGGAACTGAACCCGAGTACCAGGTTGTACAGAAAGGACCTTGGGCGGATCGAATGAAGTTTTTTTTTTTGACACGCTCATGCGAATGACCTTCGAAAGTGTAGAGACAAAACCACTTGGACAATAGGAGGGCTGTGACATGTGGTAGTTGAGTTCATTAACGAATCCCTCATCACTGAGAGCCATCAGACGCTTCGCCTCGGATCGTGTTGTGCTCCAGGTCACAGAGCATCTCTTCGGGCCAAACTGACTTACAGAAAGTAAATATAAATGCGATTAACTATCTGCACCTCCAACCCATTGCTCGGCTATAACATACCACACAAATTCATCACTGCTATCATATATCTTGTACGACACTTTTTAGTGCAAGCTGTGTAACAATTACAATCTTTAGCACAAAATTCAAGTACACCTTAATGTCATCAACAAATGCGGTCAAGAACCATGAATTAAGAGGGATCAAGTGTTTAACGATAAATTACCGGTAGAAAAGCTATGGGACCAGTCTCGGTGAAGCGCTGCCATGCGATCGTATAATCATATTCCTAGATGGTGAAGAAGAGGAAATACAGACAAAAGGTGGCAAAAACAGATAATCGCACCTGATTTCAAGGCACAAATTACTGAACACCAAGAAATAAAGATGTCACCACATACGGAACCAAGGTTAAGATTTGCAATAATTGCCGACTGATCATGCTGCCATCCGATTGTATGAATACCTGAGGCTTTTCGAACGCGCGAATTAAACCCATCAGCGCCCACCTGAACCATGAGTTGAGACGTGTGAAATCAAAAACATACCAATAAAGATGCTTTGATGGCAATTTTTTCACCCCTACGGCGAGGATTAACAGAGATCTCAGGAAAATCGGTATCTGTAAATGTCTTCGGTATGCACAAGTCTTCGACCGGGGTATCGTATAGAACTTCAATAGACCCAGGACGAGCACTAGTGCCAGATTCCGCTGCAAATTTTTCAACAGAGTTTGTGAGAGATGATACTATGAGGTCGTTTTCGACGATGTACCCCATTACATCATTGGGATTTGAACGTTCGAGAAGAAGACTAGCTGTGGTACCATTTTCGATAACCTACATGGAAAGCATATTAAATTGCGTCTATACCTTCATTTGGTGGATCGCCTGATAACGTGCACTCTCGATTTCACTCCATGCACCCACCCCTAGCTCAATGGCATCACACACGAAATTCTACCTTCCAGAAGACTACGATTTATGGGGGTAATAGCAACCACACGTATGTTATGATCAGACTGTCTGACGTACTCCTTCCTAGATCCTCCCTCAATCAAAAGAATCCTTTTATTCCGCAACATTGGTTGTAAACCTTAATCAATTAATTTGTAAGCGGTGCCTGCCTGCAAATGCAGCGAAAGCAAACCCAACCATACCGCCGCCAACCACAACCACATCATAGTGAGTTTTAAGGACTTGTGCTGAAAGTGAACGACGTAGGTGTCTGGCCGGACAGAGAGAACGCAGCAATCCCACCATCGCGCTGCTATCGTGCAACACGCAGCCAAGATGCGCGGCAAAGGTCACCAAAAAAGAGAATTGCTTAATTATTCAATCGCATGATTTTTATCGATACTTTAAAAGTTTAAGTCAATTTTGCAATAATCTAAATTAACTTAATTAGCCATAGACGTGTAAATAAATCACAAACGTATTTTATTTCCTCAACAGAAACGACGTTTTTCTAATGGTGGAAATGAAGCTCTTCATAATTACCGAAACGTGTTCGCTTATGTATTGACTTATCTGTTTAAATCCCCAGTAAATTTTACTACCACTATTGGTGCCGATGTTTCTGCTAGTTAAGTTGGCATCTGATTTATAATACAAGCCCATTTCATATCCCCCTAGTACTTCAAAATTTTTTGTTTGTAAGGAACCTTTGGGTGCTGCAACACAGCCTTAAAAGTACATTAATATGTACCATGGCTAACGCGATCTCGGTAACTATGTTACCATGCTTAATACATTGGTTATTTGACTACCCGCATGACCAAAGGATATTTGGGTGTTTATCTTGCTCTCGTTTGCGTAACCTAACCTTTAAGCCTTCTCGAGGACCTGTATTTAGCGTTCCAAGACTTCCTAGCCGGTATCAGTAGTCAGTAAGTGCAGCTGAATACGTGTATTCTGAAGACGGCCGGACCAACGGGCCTGGACATGGCCCGAAGCCCAGCTCACGTGTATAAGGGACAGACAAATCCCAAAGTGACCGCCAAACGTCAGGCAGTCAAATAAACAAAGTATTGCGCTTTTTTCCTTTTACCTTTGGATACATCTAATTAGTTTAATTTAGTGCCTTCCTTTTCCAAATGGAAAGCCTCGAATTTTATACTAGTGGCAGTCGGAATTGTACCCGAATATGTTGACTTCAATGCTAATTTTCATCGACCGTACCATACTTTAGCGGCTTAAAAGCCGGAGAGCCTACTTGCCTAGCCCCAGACCTCGGACTTCGAACTTCAGGAGAAGTTTAGTTGAGGAAGCTTTATCCGGCATTGTTTTCTGAACGAAAGGAAACAGGGAAGGATTGATGAGTCGGAGAGCCGATGTCACCCTAACAAGGGATCTTCCCACTCCTCATGCACTGGATTTGCGTTCAAGTGTATTTTCCACTTCTTTACCATAAAGGCAAACTTAAACACTTATATATATGTTACAGACATCTCCATCATATGAGCTGAGAACAACGCCGGCGTTTTTTTCTCGGTCCACAAGTTTCACTGGCAATCAATTAATATCTAAAGCAATACTACCTTCACTCATTCAAGAGAGAATCGTTTAAGAATTCCCTCTGAGCCGTCATGCGCGAATGTTAAAGTTGACAAAGGGCTGAGTTCCTTTCAATACGTGATTGTATTTGTCCTCATTTTCCCTGCTTAGCGTCTGTTTTCGAGGAGGGTATAACCGTCTTATCCTGAACACGACTGATGGTCACTAATGTAAAACTTTGTTTACATGACCACTTAATGTCTGACAGTTACTTTGGTCTTCATCTGGCCCTTGTACGCATGGAATGACATTCGGGTTATCCTCGCGCTGAAATCCCTTTCCCAACTCAATGCCTTCTTTAACCTGCTGGGAAGTCTCGGGATGCTACAAAAGAAGTGTGCATCCTAGCTTACTGCATTCGAAATAAACACAACTCTAAATCCAGTTGGGGTTGCTAAGACGGCCAAGCACAATTCCTCAGCCTCACAGGAACTGATGGCTAGTGCGTTTATCTAGTGAGTGCTTCCTTGCAGCACCGAGTGTCGCAACGGCCGGCGCGGAAGGTGCATCAAGTGTAGCCCCAAGGACGTTGCTCAAAGGGAGAGAGTAGCAATGTAGCACTCTGTTTATATATCACTCGCATAATCAGTAGGCACTCTGGTATTTATCTTGCCTTTTTCAAAATGAGGAGTCTCGGGATGTTACACCTGACATTGCGATGCCATGCATTGGCCTCAATCAACATAATTTATCGTCTCTTTTCCATAAATCACTTAAATATGCAGACCCTCTATGTTCGCTTCCTCTTCGCTGCTGTCGGTTACGCAGGAGTCAATCTTCCTTTGGATGCTTTACTAAACATTGAGAAGAGTAGAAGAAATTAAGAAAGTTCTAGAATGAATCCCCCTTCCTCACCCGTAAAGCGCCGCAATGCCTATTTTATTCGGCCATTTGCGTGAACGGCGGTAGCTTTGGCAGCCGCCTTGCACGTTAAATTGCGGGTCAAGCCGCAGCCTAACTTACAGTCATGTCTAATACCTTCTTCCACCGGATTGGAAGTCGCAGGACGGTACACCGATCTCTCCCATTCCAATGCTTGCCTATTTGAGTAGTGGTAGTCTCATGCCTTCTACTGCTAATTCGGAAGTCGCAGGATGCTGCACCCTTTATCTTGAAGCATGCTTGTAGTTTCGGTAATTCTCTCCACTCCTTACAACTTATTCCTTATTTACCCTCACAGACTAGAAATCTTTTCTTAAAGCGATTTCAAAAAAATTTAACAGATCCTGCATTCCATTGTTCGCGAAACATATTGATGGATTTCGTTCCTCTTGAATAACCAAAAGTTCCATCCTAAGTGCCCACTAGCTTGGACTAAGACGAGGAGAAGAATACAAAATAAAACTTGTTCTCGAGGAGGGAGATTATCTCACAGACTCTCTCTGCTGATAGTTCTAGACTA